AACTTTTTTTTTGTATTTTATCATTCTTTTATTATTTTATTCATGAATTTCATACAAGTATAATTTTTTGTAAGTATCAATATGCATTTATTTACCAGATATACAAGAAATTTACATAAATCTGTCTAGGCACTCGTCTAGACCCCGTCTAGCCGTCTATGCGCTAAGCGCCAGCCCGCCGTCCGACTAGAATCTAGCGTTTTTTAGAACCCTGATAAGAACATATGCAAGAAGATTAATGGGTAATTCTAGTGGACTATGTTCGTCGAGTAGCCACCTGTAAATATTACGACTTATTGATGTGCAAGAGCTAGCGCATCTTGGGGGAGGCTAAACCACCGGGCAACAAAACAATATGGGTTTCAAAATATGCGGCTACACATTTTGCAAGTAAGACTCGACGTGTATTGGGCCCAACTAAACCGCCCTTATTATTTATATATTTATGTTAATTAAACTTGAGAAATTTTTAGAAACAACTAGCTGCGATTGTCTGCACAACTATTACAGGTGGGGGTATGCCCTACTGACCCGAAATTTTGAGTAGTGTTTAATGTAATCTCAACACGAGATGATAATGATTTTATCATCTTTTCGATTTAATTCTTTATATAACTTAGCATTTTAATATTCTGGTTAGACCATCTTCAAAAGAGATACCAAATGCTAAGTGAAATGCCACGTTATAAAGTTTGAAGGCAAATAGAAACTCTAACTGATATGTCAATCCTATGTGGATTGATATATGTATCGTGTGTTGCCAATTTTGACATATGAGAAAATTTGATGTCAAATTATTTTTTTAAATGTTTTGTTGTGTGAATCCTAGTAATGCACCAATCATAAATTATGAAAATTAGTTTTATTTATTTGTTTTGAAGAGTGGGTCTTACAAATATTAAATGGATAAAAAAAAAAATATGGGTTGGAGCACAAAAAAGTTTGACATTACCACATAAATCTTCAAATTTACTTATGACATTTAATTTTAGACATTTGCATTGGAGATACTCTTAGTTGAAAATCTACAGTAAAGTGCTCAATAGACCACTCAATATTTGAGATGTGGTATCCACACACCTCTTTTTATTTCTTACACATTTTTTTAATTTTCGACAGTCATATTAAAAGACAAAAATTAATAAGGAATGTGTGAGAAGTAAAAATCGGTATGTGGATAGTACATCCTAATATTTTTTTGAGAAATTTTATTTGAACCCATATAACATCTTATTACACCCAACTTACTCTCTACACCCATATAATTTTTAATTAAACTATTGATATCTCTTTAAACCCAAATTTACTACCTAAATCACCCTCACAACCCAATCAAATATGTAAATTTATCTTTACACCCATTCAAAAAATTAAAAACCATAAAATTCATTACACTTTTAAACTTACCGGGTTGACAATATGTAATTGTCGCCAAAAATTCATTTGCCCAATAGATTAAAAGACTACTTTTGAGTTCCTATTTCTTCTAATTTCTTGGTTCATAGCGCACAACAATGGCAATAACTCGTTTCCCCTCGTTGACAACTTTGTTGCTACTGGTTCAATACTCTTGTATATACATACCTATCTTAAAAATAGGTTCAGTAGCAGGACAAGCCAACTTCAGCACAGACCAGGCTGCTCTTCAAATCCCCACCTAGGCAACCTGCCATTTCTTGTTGAGCTGGAATTCAGAAACAACAATTTTGGTGGTACCTTGCCACCGGAATTGTCTCATCTACACATGTTGAAGTTGATTAGCTTTATTTCAACGACTTGAATCTTTAAAGAAACCATTCCAATACATATACGTATCACGTATGTGTTGGTTTCTCAGGAATTCTAATCTTGATTGGCAGTAAAAGGGGGAGTGGTTGTTTGTGCATGCTAATGCTCTAAACGGTCATATTCTTGTTGTTGTCTTCAACATGTCCTCTTTAACAATTTTGACTCTAACCCTATACAATTTAAGTGGCAGTTTACCAGACAATATTTGCCAACATCTTCCAAGCATTCGGGGGTTGCATTTTCCGCACAACTAGTTTGATGGAGGGTGAACGTAGGATAAATACTATGGAGTGTTTGATTACTCTGTGTGTGTTTATTAATAAATTTTAGTTTTATTGTTTATTTTATCTTGTACTTAATGGTAATTATGTTATAGTGTAAAAAAGACAATTCACTTTTAAAGTTTAAGTTGGGTGTAGAAAGAGGTTATATAGGTTCAAATAAAATTTCCCTATTTTGTTATAATGTCTTAGACGACTATTACCCCAATTTGCATACAAGGAAAAGGAGTTGAAATAAAAACCCAAACTTAATTGGGTCATATTAAGTAGTAGAGTTAGCAACTAGACCCAAACCCGATGTGTGTTTGGATACACCAAGTGTAATAAAATAATTAATTAGAAATTCAAAAAATAAAAAATAAATATTCAACAAATTTTATTATAACACTTAGTGTAACGAGCCGTGTTCTCGGCACATTGAAATTTTTTTCTTAAATTTGGCTAGCATTTGCAGCGACCTCTTTAGTGGCTAAGTAGAATTCTCGTGATGCATCTTTTGCTATAATCGGTGTCTACATTTGGATTGCAATTATTATTATTTGTTTTATTGAGTTGAAACGATATTCTAAACTAATTTACTCTAACACAAGGGAGAGTATTTGAACTTGAGACATAGAGAACCCTAACTAATATGGCAATCCTCCACTTGTATAGGACTGCTAGATTTTATTTTATTTTATTTTTGGCGATAATTTTTAGCATTGTATTTAATTATGCTCAAATTTTTGTTTTCTTGAATTGGTTTTAGTTAATTTTTGCTTATGTTATCTTCATTTTCTCTATGAACATTTCGACGCTAAAATAGAATAGAACTTGTTAGTCAGATCTCTTAGCAATCAAGAATGTAAACAATATGGTTCTAACATCAAGTGTCAATTGTTTATCCAAAACAAAAACATTAAGTAAAACATTAAGTTTTCCAAAAAAAAAAAAGAAAAGAAAAAACAAAAACATTAAGTAGCAATTTATAGCAAAAAAGCAAAGGGTAGAAGTACTTTCTTTTAAAGGATAGAAGTACTTTCTTATCTAAGTACAAAAGTCAAGTCCTTTGGAATTACACTCTTAGGACTTAGGAGTAGGATAAACCCCGGATCTGCCTGTTGGCTTTGTTTTGTTACTTTCAGTTATCTTTTCGGTACTTGGTGCTTTGTTGCCTGGTCTGCGCGGTGGCATTGATTGGTGGTTTGCTGATGGACCCTTGTGGTCTGTCTCTTGAGGGTTACTTGTATGGAACTAGTACACTGCTATGACGGCATCTCGCACCAAATAAGGGCTCGTGAATAAAGCTAACACATGTTAAGTGGTATAGAACGTGACGGTGTATCCGTGACATACTTCTTATCTCTCCTTGGTGCAGAAGATAAAGAACAAAAAAGGACGAAGTTATTGTCAACAGATATAAATATAAAAGGAGGAGGCATAGGGCTGAAGGTGTGTTGACAGAAGCATAGAGAGCACAAATGAGTGAGATGCTGCCTTGTTCTTGCATTTCATCATCTGTACTCTCTATCTTCTGTCATCAAAGCCTAGCTAGCACTTCTGCTTCTCTATTTTTGGACCGACTGATATATGACATAATTTTGAGATCCAATAATCCCTATTATTTAATTAAGAATAAAAAAAGAATATTTCTTTAATTTTATAATCAAAATTTCCTTTTTTTTAATAATTTAAAGAATGAGAAAGTCACCACATAACCAATTTAAACTGCAAACAGGATAAAGTGGGATAGTATTAAGAGTGCAAGGGTTGGGCCAATCCGAACACATCCATGTCCAACCCAACTTTAAACATGAATAAGTGGGTTTTTTTTCAGTTATAACCCGCCCGAACCCAACTCAATTTCAATCCGTTCATTGATTGAGTTGATCATTTGCTTGTCCATCCCCAACCTAGCCCAACTAACCAAACCCAATCTAACCAAATTGTAACCCATATCAATTAATGTTCATAGTACACCCAAGTGAGTGAGCCAAATCCAAAACCAACGCCTTTCTAATACCTTTTTAATAAATTACCTTTTATAATTACTTAAACTTTTAGAGAATAAGAGGCTTTGATTAGATTTGAATCCCATCTGGATCCAAATTGTGGGGATCCTATGGATCTTCATATCTTAGCCATTCATCATACATCGTGCGCTCATAAATCATTTAACTTTTTTTATTTAAAATTAAACACAAATAGTACCTGATGAAAACTGATTGCACGATGTACGATGAACGGCTAGGATATAAGGATTCCTAGGATCCCCAGAAAGAGGATTCGGAGAGGATCCTCATCCACTTTGATTAGTCACCCCATATTCGTAGTCTCTAAATCCTAAAGCTTTATAGTAGATTGATTTATGAAATTAAAGTTAGCTAGTTTTGATGCTACTTGGCTTAATTTTTTTAGAAATTCTTAGAAACTAAGTTATTATAAGATTAAATTTCAAAAAATTGGGCAACCCAAACCCAACCCAAGTAAACCCTAACCCAATTAAACCCGAGTCTGAAGTGTAAAAGTTAGGTCAAGATTGAGTTAACCTTCCAACCAGCCCAACCCGTCCGAGTTGGGCCCCTAGATAGGAATTCAGCCGTTATATATTTGAGGAAAGTAAAAAAAGGGGGAAATTCTCAATCATGCTGTTGTTGTGCAATGACTGAAAGGACTGAAATAAGCAAACAAACCATGCGTACGGAAGCAAAAAACATCACACACTATATATGTATGTATATATATATATATGTGTGTGTGTGTGTGTGTGTGTTTGTATTATATACGTATATTTAATTATTTCATGCTTTCCAAGATTTATCAATCGAGATGCACTCTATATGTTAGTACTACTTGTTCATCTCGGAAGTTCAGACAGAATGGATAGACGATTAATATGGATTATAGAAAGGCATCATATGGCTATATAAGGCAATAGGGAAGGTAAGGGGCTGAAGGTGTTGACAGAAGAATAGAGAGCACAAAGGATGGAGATGCTGCCTTGTTTTTGCATTTCCTCATCTGTGCTCTCTATCTTCTGTCAGCAAATTCACCTATGCCTCCTCCATCTACAAATATATATATATATATATAGCAACAAAACTTAAAAATATTACAACTAATTGCAAGGCAAATGAAAGATAATGGAAGAACTTAAAAGTTGAGACCCACAAAGACAATTTGGGTTGGGAGGGAGAGAGGGAGAGAGAGCTGACCTTGGGATGAACTTAAACGACTTCCAATGCCACTATTTATAGGGAAGGAGTAAGGTCTAAGCATGCATGCATGTTGGCATGTCTTATCATGCATGAAGCCGTTTTCTGTGAGATGCATAAACGAATAAAATGTTCCCCAAATCACGATAATTGTGTGCGTTCCTGATGCCTCACGCAAATCGGGTGTAGTAGTCAAATGATATGGATTCATTCCAAAAGTATTAATTATAATTAATCGTGGATATACACCCAAAATTTGGGAATTAAAAGTGCTTGTGGCAATGACTAAAATTTTCAAAATAATTCTTCCTTCCTTATGGAAACACACTTGCCAGGTACTTCTTTAAAAAAATGCATTCGAATATTTAATCAAAACTTTGTTACAATACTTTTTACTTAACTAAGTCATTAAGTTTCTGTCCTTAAATATTCGTGGATGCTAACCAAGTACGGATAGGGGCCATGTATTTACATCTGCATAGAGTAGCACCATGTTGATGAACTTGTCACCAAAATATTAACGTATGGGTGGCGTCAGGGATTAGGCATGCAGGCATGCAAGTTGCCAGGAAGCATGCAGATTTGGAGACTCCCTGGCCACTTAGGCCTTATCTTAGAATACGTAGTCGGCTCATCTTCGGGGATATTTTGCATGATCAAATATCATTGGGCGGTGAATATCCACCTGTCATTACCCCCATAGCTTCCCCCTAATTATTCATCTTGTCACTAACTATATTACACTTTGACCTCACTCATTTTCTCAGTGCTAAAAGTCTTGTCATATTAATATCAACATGTCAAGGTTCCCACTCGACTCACTTTCAGTGCGCACAAAGAGTCTTGTTATTGCAAGTTTTAAGGCATACTATCGATCGATTCCATTTTTGGCATATCCTTAAGGCTAAGATTCTGCCATTCTATCACACTATATTACATACTTTCTTTGGTCCGGTTCAATCCATAAACCATATGATCATAATCGTTTGTTCAATTCATTATCGAACAATAAACCTTTATCGTCGGACGCATAAGAATCTACCTCAAGCAAAAACATGTAGAATAAATTACGCGTATTTCATTGTTGATTAGTGTTTTCTCTCAGAGTGTATTTTTCGTTATTGCTTATATTATAGAGTAAACATAATGTTTGCTTGTCACTATTTTTCGTTATTGCTTATATTATATATAGTAAACATTATGTTTGCTTGTCACTAGAAATAGTTGAAATTCAAATAAGCAAACAAGAAATAGTTGAAATTCAAATATAAATTGTAAATACTAAACCCTTAAAAACTCTCAGAAGGGTGAGGGTCATCCAGAAATTAGTGTGAGAGTTATCCAAAAGTTAGGGTGATGAGATGAAGGATGAGGAGGGTTATCCAAAGGAAGAATATGGAATAAAGACACTCCGCAAGCCGCCGAATTCATAGACTTATCCTCTTTGGGAACTCTACTTTTCACCGCAAAGAAAGATATGCTTTCCGCAATTGGATAGGGAAGGCTTCTCTCCACGGTCACCAATTAATCCTCAAAATTCCATTATTATATATGAGCGCGTTTGAAATTTATTTTTTTGTTTGTTTGTCAAGCGTTTGAAATACTTTGAATTAATGTAACTGAATTTGAAGCAAACACAGCGTAATAGGGATTCTTGTTCATGCATGATATGGAAATGCATGACGTACTGTTTAGTTTGATAAAACAACTTCCTAAAAATTTGTTGCCACTTAACAAGCTTTTAGTTCTCAAATATTCAACATATTTAGTTACATATAATGGCACTGGTTTATCAATTTAAATTTTAAACGTCCGAGAAGAAATTTTTTTTGCTAGTCCTGGCCAAGAGTGGAGTTAGGATTTCTTCCAAGGATGAGCTAGCCAAAAATATTGCGATAAAATGATGTGATCAAATTCTTTTGTCTACGTAAAGTTACATAATCGACCTGAAAATGAAAATTTGTAAGTAATAAACCAAATGATTTTATGGCTTTCCATTAATCAATTTCCAACCAACTTAAATATAAATAAAAGTAGAGGTTAAAAAATTGGATCATTGACTCCTGATATATGATCCAATTGGAGTTTTGCTTGAACTAAAAAAATCATTAGTATTGATCCTTGAACATACCACTATGTAGAGCAATGATTCTTTGTGTTACTCTGTTACAACTTTAGCCTCGTTTTCGCCCTGTATGGAAGCATCGTTTCAAAAATGGATTTTATCTTTATTCTAGTCCGTCCGTCCATTTTATTATTCTAAATTGGTCACTTCGTCTTCTTGTTTTTTTAGCATATGACCCTTTGGATTGGATCCATATCTCTTGATCAGGTCCCTCTTTTAATAACACAGTTGATTTGAGGGTCAAGAAAAGAAAATTTGTTGTGGCAAAATCCTTCATAAACATATTTTTTCTTCATACCTCTTATTAATAAAATTTGATAGAGAGTAAGGATTGAGTAATTATCAAATATAGCCAAAAATTAATCTTTAATTTCAAAAATGTCACTTTTTATAAAATCTTTCAAATATATCCAAATTCCACTTAAATAGACACAAATACCCTCAAATTTAAAAATCAAATATATTAAAGACTTTTTAGCCAAAATGATTTGTGACATTAACATAACTCCTTAATCTGGTCCTTAACAATTAATGATAATCAATAGTAGTGTTCTTGAATTTGTCTATCATGAATCATTTTAGTCTTTCTTTGAATTTGTCCATTGTGATCATTTTAGTTTTTTTTTTTTGTGAAAAATTTGTCAATTACTCTGTTAGTGTGATGATGTGGCGCCACGTGGGTCTCACAAATACAATCATATAATGACATGTGGATTAACTTCAAAACCTATTTTTATAATTAAAACTAAAAATGATATTAGTAAGAAAAAAGGTGTTGAAGGCATTATTGAAATTATGCTGCTCTCACTTGCGGTAACCACGGCGGCGCTTAATGTCGGTGATGAGGAGGTCGAAGGGGATAGGGTTGTGGTGGTGGAGTGTAGAAACGAAGGTGAAGTTGGACCGGAACTTGAGGCGACAATAGCTAAAAAGCCTTTAATTTATTTAATTGTTAAATTTGAGGGTATTTGTGTCTATTTAAGTGAAATTTTGGATATATTTGAAAGTTTTCATAAAAAGTGACATTTTTTAAATTAAGAGTTAATTTTTTGCTATATTTGATAAATACTCGTAAGGATTCATATAAAAATTGATGAGCCGAGTAAGCGAACCAAACTAAGTGAAATGAAACTGCGAAAAACTGAGTTGACCAAAACCTGTCAAACCCGGATTGGAAATTGAACCGAACTGTGTAAACCGGTTTCTATCTCGATTTTGTGCTTGAGAAAATTTGTCCACACATAATTGGACCAAAATAGGTATGCTAAGGAGACTAAATTTGTAAATTAAAGACATGGAAGTTGACCATTGAATTATTACGTAAGTGTATTTTTTATTGGTAGAACATTATTTAGTTTGTAAATTTAGTCTACCCTAAACCCTAAAACCTAGTATCTTTTTTTTTTTTTTTTCCTCTGAGGCCCAACTCTCTTGGTTCTACCTTATTTCACCAAGCGCAACCCACTCTCCTAGTTCCAACTTTTGCTGTTGCCCTCTGCCTTTTGCCTTGGGGTTTAGAGGAAATGACATGAATTTAGGAGATGAGGAGACTCATCTTATTTCAACAAAGCCCAACCCAACTTTCTAGTTCTAACTTTCGTGGATCAACAACGCTTGCCGAAATGCTTAACCGGTTAAACAGGTCATTACGTCAAGAGATAAAAAAAGACTGAATAGGCAAAATAAAATAGGAACCCCCAAATAACAAATATTCAATAAATATAATATTTTTGGGACAATGATTCTTCTTTAATTTCGACTAAATTAGAATGAGTTGATATACTCACCCTATTACAAAATTCCATAATTTCTATTGAAGACAACTGATATCAATATATACATTGATATTTTCATAAATTTGAATAACGATATTTCTTGCATATATCGGTATTTTAAACACCGGGTATATCAACTCATACAGATTTAGTCGAAATTAGAGAAAAAAAAGTTCAAAAAATTCAAACTCTGCAATGGGTTCCAACAAAATTTCTATAGTGAATTGGTAAAGATCGTTAGTATTAATTGATTTCCTCTATCTTGCCAATATAGATGAAGTTTGCCTTTCACCCTCCATCGATTCTTGATTTTTTAGATATTTCAATGAAAATGTCGACAATTTCGTAGATATTTTAAACACTAGCGGGGATGAACCTGTAATAGTCTCATAACCCTATTGATAACTTACTATTAGGAATACAATAGGTCTCTGATTCTATCAACATTAGCTGCAATAAAGTCTCCTACAATCAGTGTTCTAAAAATTAGCCCAGGAGGTGCCTAGGCGCTAAACGGTCGGCTATTGTAGCATTTTACAACTAGTCGGACACAAAATCGAAAACCATATTAGGCAGACACTGTGCTATCCACACACCCATTTTTACTTCTCACACACTCCTTGTTAATTTTTATCCTTTGATCTTCTTCAATTCAACTGATCTGACGGCCGAAAATTAAAGAGTGTGTGAAATGTAAAAAGAGGTGTGCTATCCACACAACCCAAAAAAAAAATCATTTTCTTACTCTTATTACTTTTGGGTAATATTTTATCTTTTTTAAGTCCACTCGATATTGTCACTTAGTATTATGATATAGTGATATTCATCTTCACTTGTAAGTGAGAGGTCTCAGGTTCGATTCTCGCTAAAGACAAATTTGAACCAAATTATTGCTAACTCATTGTAAGGCTTAGCCCAATCCCCTACCTCTTTAGTATAGATAACATCGTTTGTTAAAAAAAAAGGTCCACTCCCTATTATGTATTTAAAACTCTTACACTACATGTGTATTCTTCTTTATAAAAAAAAAAAATGTTATTCAATGTTTATTTGTGATTACATAGTAAATTAAATTAAATTATATAGATAACAAATAAACTTAAACCCGTGTAGTCCGCTTAGGTGCCTAGGTTTTAGGCTCTAATTCGCGGCCAACTAGTGCCTAGCATCTTTTAGAACGTTGCCTATAATATTATTTTAATCTTTCATATAATCTATTGTTACAAAACTCTATCAACTTAAGTTATACAATCATATCGAAATAGTGATTATGTTTACTCAAAATCTTACTTTTATTTTAATCCCCAAGGTAGAGTCACACCCTAAATTTGATTCATATATGTTATTTTGAACTCATGCCTCTATTTTCTCTTACTGTATACTTGTTTCTTTTCACCAATTTTTTCATCTATCCCATATTTTTTTCATCAACTACAAGCACTAGTACAAAAAACACTTTGCGCAACGTAGGTCTTTCATTGCGCAAAGTCATAAAAACATTGCGCAAAAATTAGCGCAATGAACCTTCATCGCGCGCCAACCGTTGCGTCAAGGCAGTGACAACAGGGTTTGCGTGATGAAGAAGTAACCCACATCGCACAAAGTGGGCTTGGGCGACGTAGGTCTTGCGTTGCGCAAAGTGTTTTGCGCCACGTAGGGACCTGCGTCTTGCAAAATGGTTTTGCACGACGTAGGTTACTCCTTCGTCGCGCAAACCCTTATTTTTTATTTTTGGCAAAAATATTTTATTTTATTTTTAATAAATATTGTAATTAAATTCTAAATAATAATTAATAAACCAAGAAAAAATATTTAATTATAAAATATATGAAAATATACATACAAGATGTCCGAACAAAAAAGAAAAAACTACAAGAAGTAATCTTCTAGGTTTGATACATCAGGCTATTGGGTGACTAGAAAAATACAAAAACTAAATTACAAAAGTTTCCAGTTACAGTTTCTCTACCAGCAGATCGACTGTAAGTTTTCTAAAATCTTTAACAAGCAAAAGTTTCGATAATATCTCTCCCATGGTGGATGTGTCACCTTTATTATCCATCTCCAAGCCAGCTTCCAGGGCTTCAACATCTAGCACTACTTCCTTTCCCCAATCTCGTAGGCGTTTTCATCAACTGTACCCTTAGTGACTAGCCTGTAAAAGACATGACAGGTTATAATCCTACAATTTTCTATTCAAATTTATGATTCAAACCAATACCACATTATAAAGAGCAGGGAAGAAGGGGTGGGGGTTAAGCCTGAAATGTGCTTCTCTCAGATTGGTAAGTATAGGTGATGTTTCCTGATCACCTAAACCTTCCTTGCTCCCTAGTCCAGCAAGAACACCTCCATGTTTATACACAAAACACACATACAGATCAACAAAATTGCAAAATCTTCAGACAATCAACTCGAATCACATCACGAAAAACTTCAGCAAGAACACCTCAATAATTGCTATCTCTACCTGCAAACACATAAGTACATGGATCAAATGACTAAAATATACACAAAAGTATGCCTTTGCAGTTTGATTGTTTCCTACCACCTGCATAAAAAGCATATACTTGTGAGTATGAGTCTTTAACATTCCAGTTACAGTTTCTCTACCGGCAGATCGACTGTAAGTTTTCTAAAATATTTAACAAGCAAAAGTTTCGATAATATCTCTCCCATGGTGGATGTGTCACCTTTATTATCCATCTCCAAGCCAGATTCCAGGATTGCAACATCTAGCACTACTTCCTTTCCCCAATCTCGTAGGTGTTTTCATCAACTGTACCTTTTTGTGACTAGCCTGTAAAGGACATGACAGGTTATAATCCTACAATTTTCTATTCAAGTTAATGACTCAAACCAATACCACATTGTAAAGAGCAGGGAAGAAGGGGTGGGGGTTAAGCCTGAAATGTGCTTCTCTCAGATTGGTAAGTATAGGTGATGTTTTCTCAATCACCTAAACCTTCCTTGCTTCCTAGTCCAGCAAGAACACCTCCATGTTTATACACAAAACACACATATAGATCAACAAAATTGCAAAAACTTCAAACAATCAACTCGAATCACATCACGAAAAACTTCAACAAGAACACCTCCATGTTTATACACAAACACACATACAGATCAACAAAATTGCAAAAACTTCGGACAATCAACTCGAATCACATCACGAAAAACTTCAGCAAGAACACCTCAATAATTGCTATCTCTACCTACAAACACAAAAGTACATGGATCAAATGACTAAAATATACACAAAAGTATGCCTTTACAGTTTTATTTTTTCCTACCACCTGCATAAAAAGCATATACTTGTGAGTATGAGTCTCAAACATTCCACACAAAAAACTGATGTGGCAAGTAGATCAAAGTTTCAGCAAATAGATTTATGAGTTTCAACATTTCACAAGTGATATACTTGCGAGTAGATAACTGATCTCTTATACAATTTTGCACAAATGTTGGTAACAATGACCGTTAGCAAATAGACTAAAAATTTAGAATCAACTAGAAAAATTGAGCGTGGATTGTTGCGGGTTTTGAAACCATAATGCAAGACATGCATAAATAATTTCGACAAAAAGACATATGAATTGTTGATGATGGCCTTGAACTTTCTCAGAATTATAAGGTTTGTGTTGTGGAGCTTGGACATGCATTGGTCTCACAATTTGGGTAGTAAAAAAAGAAAGAATGTTGTTTTCCTACAACTAACGCTAGAGTCCAATTTTCACGAAAAAAGGAAAACGCTAGAGTCCAGTTAAACAGAAAAATATGCAAGGAATACTCACTGAGCTTCACCATCATCGCTGGCTTCAACTGGAACAGAACCTTCTCTTGTTCAACTTTAGTGAAGTTAAACTTGCTGCCATCAAAGGGCTGGAGAACCTTATCAACTCGAAACTCTGTTGGCCTCTTCTTAAAATGGCGACCCTCATTCAGCTCAGCTATGAAACCAAATTGCCCTGGGATCACCTACACCAAATTATCAAAGAAATTGGTACCCATATCCCAAATAAGTAGTACATATACATACACATTGTTCCTAAGCTCGACATCATAGCGAAATAGCCATCTCTGCATGCGATCCTCCCACTGTACCATGGAGTGGTAAACAATTTTATTCCATAATAATTGTTAACTACAAAAGGAAACAAACAAAGCTGGTGATTCTTTCTTCATCTCCTGTATATCAATTTACATCCTTGAGAAGCAGTGTGTCAAGAAATGCAACGGGAGACTCTTTTCTCATGTCCGAGCAAACCCGTGTCACCATCATTCACGTTCAGTTTCTTGAAGGCATACAATGGAAGTTTTGCACCTATGCAAACCGAAAACGGTACACAACCCAGTCATAAACATAAAATCATTTTCTTCAAATCCAAAAAAAAAAAAAAAAAAAGAAAGAAGCTTCACGCCTACTCCAATCCGTATAGATCGAGTAACTGACAAATACCCAGATAAGAAATAACGCCCAAACCGTCGAAAAACACGAAATCAACAAATGAAGCAATTTCTTGATAACATATTGTTGAATCCCACATCGGCCATACAAAAAGAAAAGTAATAGTTTAAATATCCTAATCTCACTCTAACTAATACCGAGACATTTTGTGATAAGACCCCACACCTGACGGATTGTGCATGTGGTAATTACCAAGTTTGGGACAATATCGGTGTTGTTGGAAGTGGGCCGTATGGCACGTTTCTCTGATAATTCTACATGGTATCAGAGTCAGGGAGCGGGCCCATACTATACAACCACATGATGGGTGGGTCCCCTTGGCCCCGCACAATGATGGTGGGTCCCTTGGCCTCGCGTGTAGGGTGAGTCCCCTTGGCTCCACGTGGTTGCCGATGTGTGGATCTCCCACGTGTGACCACTAATTGGGTCTCACGTGAGGGGGTGTATTGAATCCCACATCAGCCATACAAAAAGCAAAGTAATTGTTTAAATATCCTAACCCCACTTTAACTAATACCGAGGTCTTTTGTGATAAAACCTCACACCTGACGAATTGTGCAGGTGGTAATTATCAAGTTAGGAACAATATCAGTGTTATTGGAAGTGGGCCGTATGGCCCGCCTCTCTGATAATTCTACACATATCACATAGGGAGGTTTGTTTTGCAAACCACCAATTCAAGTACGTAAAAGATAAAGCACAAAAATTCAAATTCAAAGTGGATGACATTTACACAAATACCTGGAATGCAACATTGATTAAGGCAGTTGTGGCCACAACCCCCGACGAGGCGGGCACCTTCCAAGGCTTCCATTCTTCTCAGCCTCAGGTTGGAAACAACCTTGATTCACCTTCCTCGTCTCTAATCTTTGACATGCATACAGAAAATGGAATTAAAATTCTAAATCTAGAATCGATCCAAAAACTGAAATTTTTTATTTTGAGAAATCTCTTACACTAGGGAACAGCCACGAAGAGAGGATCATTTTTACCTCTTGGTTGAGGTCCAATTCCGGCAGACTTCGTCGGAAATTGCCTGGAATACCCACAATCACCGTTTCTTAGATCTGAAGTTGAGAAAATTCGGCTACGAATTTGGAGAAACTAACTTGAGGGTTGGAAAAAGGAAGGGAAGATGATTCTGGAGGTATGACCGAGAGGGAAGAGAAAGGTCTACGGGAAAAAGAGAGGGAGAGATGAGTGAGAGGGAAGAGAGGTCTACAGGAAAGAAAGAGTTAGGGTCCAAACTTGGAAAATTGAAAAGAAAAAAAAGCGCCTATTTTTCACTATTGCACCGCCAAAATTATCACAACTGGAGCGACATAGGTATACAATTTGACGTCGCGCATTTGCGCGACACCCACATTAAACCCCACAATAACATATTTTTCTAACAAAGTGTGACTACTTCTTTCAAATTCAATTTTTTTTACATAAACCCCACAATAATATATTTTTCTAACAAAAACCCACAATAATTTTTTTACATATATATTATTCAATTTCTTAAGTGTTATAAGTACAAAATAAATAAATTAAAATCTACTTAGTAAATAGGGTAAATCTCTATTTACTACCCTCAAGTTTTGTGGTTTTCAACATTTGGTACATGAAGTTTTTTTCGTCTCAGAGTCATACCTAAAGTGTTAATTTTGGGACAGTCTCATACATCCGTTAGTCAACCTGTTAAGTCTTCTGTTAAGTGTTGACGTGGCACCCATGTGGACAATGACTGGGCACCACGTGTCATTAAAGGGTCCACGTGGAAATTAAAAATTAAAAAAAAATTTGGAAACCAAAAAAAAAAAAAAAAAACAATGGTCGTCTTCTACCTCCTGCCCTTCCTCCCATATCCCTCCATTCTTTCCTCTGCACCAACCCACCAAACCCTTCCCCTTCCATCTTCAATTCCACCCATCCACCCACCCACCCACCCACCCACCCACCCATTAATTCCAAGGACAATCGCCCAGAGAAAGATTCACATAACTTGAATGCATTTCGACAAACACAAACAGGGCAATCACGAATTAAACGCAAAGGCGACAACTTTACACAGTGAGATGGGGAAATTACCAGAACTTGAAATCGGGAAGGCGGCAGACGAAGGGGGGGAACTCATTGGATCCGTGGGTTGGGAGGGAGGGGTCGTCGGAGTAGGAGAGGTTGTGGATCTCTGGGTCGACCTGAGGAGAGAGAAACCCAATAAGGAGGTTGCGAATGTAGATCCCCAAGGCATACAACACCACGTAGAAGCCTTGGACCAGGTACACGCATAAGATGTAGATTAAGGCCACCGCCAGGCACGCATGAGACCCACTCCCGCTGCTCTAGTGTCCATTTCCCGAGCTTGTTTATTGGGTAGTGGTCTTCCCTCTCTCTCCCTCTCTGAATCTGTCTATAGGCGATTGTCCTTGGAATTAATGGGTGGGTGGATAGGTGGAATTGAAGATGGAGGGGGAATGGTTTGGTGGGTTGGTGCAGAGGAAAGAATGGAGGGATAAGGGAGGAAGGGTCGGAGGTTGAAGACGACCAATTTTTTTTTTTTTTAATTTCCACATGGACCCTCTAATGACACGTGGTGACCAGTCATTGTCCACATGGGCGCCACGTCAGCACTTAACTGGAGACTTAACAGTTTGACTAACGGATGTATGAGACTGTCCCAAAATTTACACTTTAGGTATGACTCTGGGATGAAAAAAACTTGATGTACTAAATGTTGAAAACCACAAAACATGAGGGTAGTAAACAGTCTTTTACCCTAGTAAATATATATACTATTGAACTTAATGGGAAACACATTCTACGAAACTAATTTCAAGGATTCAACCATCAAACTTGTTTGTATATACTTTGTTTATACCATATTTAGGGCCTCGTATTTAGACCTCGTATAAATACTCAGGGGACTTAAATGTAATTATGTGATAAGGAAATGGGCAAATATGTAATAAGTGAGGAGTTCTTATTCTATAAAAGGACCCCTCACCCTCACAATTGGGGGATGCCAATTCCTAAGGCTTCTCTCACCCCCTCTCAACGCTCTCACTCTCAGAGCTCTCTTTCTCCCTCAAATAAATACAATCTGTGTGGACGTAGCCCAAACCTTGGACTACGAGTCTCATGAACATCCTCGACTTCAAGTCTACGTCGACACCATCTTACACCTGCCACAATACCAGAATGTGATGAGTCTGATGCTTCTACTGTGGACTCTGGTCATTGGGTCAGTTTTCAGACAGAGGCACCCTCATTTGCTCCGCCTTCGCCCACATTTAATCTTATGAAACCAGTGGCTGAGCAGAATGTTCTTCAGAATGCTGTTGAAGCCCATGTAGGGATGGGATGGGCAAGCACTACATAGAGGGGACGAGGCTTAGATTTTGAGTTTGAGAATGGCACAATGAAAGCTTGGGAGGGTGAGAGAACTTTCCTGATCACTACACATCATCATACAACAAAGTAGAAGAGGTGGAGAGACAAAGAGAAACGTGCAATGAACAGAGAAAGCAAAAGCAAAAAGAGAAAAAGAAATAGACACCATCATCAAAAAACAGGCAAAAGCAATCATCCACTAGCAGTGGCACGGGCACCACCAACGGTTCCTCCACGAACTCCAACCATGCACTCACCCATGCTATAAACCTGCAGTGTAGTGAAAAAAAAAGAAGAGAAAAGCAGTGGGGAACAGAAAAGCAAATAGAAAAAGGAAAAGACAGAGACATAGATAATGGATGGGCACGACCAAAGCAAGTGGGTTTGGCAAAAGATACCTTACAAATCAAGGTGGATAGAGAAGGAACGGGGAGATCAAGAAAAGCATGAGCAAAAGAGAAAGTAAAAGAGAAAGCAAAAGTAAGGAATAAACACCCCACCAGAATGATGTTGTTTACTCTTCTTATTTTTTAATGATGTAATTTATTTTTCGTATCTTTCGGAGATATCTGTATAAACCCCATCAGAGGGTAATATGTATAAACCCCATCAGAGGGTAATAACGCTAAAAAAAAAACGGCGAAGCTTAAAATAAATTGGCTGGAATATTGTGTGGAGAGCGAAGGTCCATAAGCCCAAAATAGCACAAACCAGGAGATCAAAAGTACGCCCAGTACTACAAAAAATTATTCGGCATCCTACCGCTATTACCACTAACCAAGTGATTAAAAGTACGCACAGTACTCTAAAATTATTCGGGAACCCGCTGCTATTACCACCAACCAGGTGATGAAATGTACAACCCATACTCTAATATCATTTGGCAACTAGCCATTCATGCCACCAACCAGGTGATGAAATGTACAACCCGTACTCTCCTTCATGCCACCAACTAGGTGACAAAAGTACACTCAGTACTTCATATTATACATGAGCATTACTCATGTCAAACATACATAAACATTCATGCCAAAATAGAGTTAATTCCTTGATATATTAGATGATTATTTCTCATTACAAGATGAACATATATATAGGGAAAGAAAGAAGACATAAGACCTAACTTTGCCTAACTTGCCTAACTTACCTAACTTGCCTAATTTACATAAAGAAAGTTGACTAGCCTAACTTCACTAGCCATCCAATACTCATGGCTGCTTTTAGTTGACACTCCCCCTCAAGTTGGTGCGTAAATATCTCGAATGCCCAACTTGCTGAGTGAAAGATGGAAAATCCTACTTGACACTGCCTTTGTTAAAATATCTGCTAGTTGGTCATCACTCTTCACATAAGGCAAGTTAATGGTACCATCAACCAACCTTTCCTTAATAAAGTGCCTATCCACTTCAACATGTTTAGTACGATCATGTTGAACTGGATTATGAGCAATGCTAATGGCAGCTTTGTTATCACAATAAAGTTTTGATGGCTTTGCAGAATTAAAACCTAATTCTCTCAACAAAGTCCTGAGCCATAACAATTCTTGCACACCATGTGCCATACCTTTAAATTCAGCTTCGGCACTGGATCTAGCCACTACATGTTGCTTCTTACTGCGCCAAGTAACTAGATTTCCTCCAACAAATGTAAAGTATCCAAAAGTCGATCTGCGATCAGTTACTGACCCAGCCCAATCTGCATCAGTGTACCCTTCAACTTCTTGATGTCCATGATTGGAAAACATCAAGCCTTTTCCAGGGGCAGACTTCAAATACCTGAGAATGCGTTGTACAGCATCCATGTGGGCTTCACTTGGCCTGTGCATAAATTGACTCACTACACTTACAGCATAGGCTATGTCAGGTCGTGTATGAGACAAATAAATCAACCTCTTAACTAATCTTTGGTACTTTCCTTGTTAGCCGGAACTTGATCATGATAGTCTCCCAATCTATGGTTTTGCTCAATTGGTGTGTCTGCAGGTTTACAAGCTAACATCCCAGTCTCAGTTAATAAGTCTATAACATATTTCTTTTGAGAAAGAAAAATGCCATGCTTTGATCTTGCAACTTCAATACCCAAGAAATATTTCAGAGTACCCAAGTCCTTCATTTCAAATTCCTTGGCTAGATACTTTTGAAGTTTTTGAATTTCCTCGACATCATTACCTGTAACCACCATATCATCCACATAAACAATTAAGGCTGTAAGTTTACCTCTATCATGCTTAAGAAATAAGGTATGGTCAGCTTGAGTTTGCTTAAACCCATAACTTCTCATTGATTGAGCGAACCTGCCAAACCATGCCCTTGGTGATTGTTTCAATCCATACAAGGACTTTCTTAACTTGCATACTTTGCCAATATCGCAAGTGGTAGTGAATCCTGGAGGAAGATCCATGTATACCTCTTCATCCAAGTCTCCATGTAAAAATGCATTTTTTACATCAAACTGTCGTAGAGGCCACCCTAGATTTGCTGCCAATGACATAAGAACCCTGATAGTGTTGATCTTTGCTACCGGAGCAAATGTCTCCTGATAATCAATGCCATAGGTTTGAGTATAACCTTTGGCTACCAGTCTAGCCTTGTACCTTTCCACTGAACCATCAGCTTTATGCTTTACTGTGAACACCCATCTACACCCAATAGGTTTCTTGCCTTCAGGAAGTGCAACCAGTTCCCAAGTGGAGTTTTTTCGAAGCACTTCCATCTCTTCAATCATAACCTTTTTCCATTTTGGATCTTTAAGAGCATCCTGTAACTTATTAGGAACTGAGACTGATGACAATTGGTTTGCAAAAGATATATAAGAGTCTGACAAGCGATGAGATGAAACAAAATTAGATATAGGATATTGAATACCCTTTGTAGAAGAATGACCATAACGAACATGGGGTATCCCTCGATTTTCTCGAATAGGATAACGAGAACCCTGAGACTCACGATGTGGTTCATTTGAATCATTTGGATCATCACTTAATGAAATCTCATGATTGGACTCATCAAATATAGTAGGTTGAAGAGAGGGAGAATGAGTGGTTACCTCAGGATAATTCGTGCGAGTAGCAGCTGATTGGTCAGAGAGTTGGTCAATGTGGGGATTTGTCTATGGGTGGTCTATCTCATCATCCCTTTTTTCTTTATCTCCCTTTTTTCTTGTCCTCTCATACACCTTCAATATTTTTTCACCTTGTGCCTCATCATTAGGCAAATTTGCACCATCACCGACATCAGACAAGTGTTCATCTGAAAAATGCATACCATCAATGTCAAGCGGCAACTTCTCTTCCTCCTTACTCCATATCTCCCCCTGAAGAGAAGTGGCCAAATCTTCTTTTGAAAAAAATGCCTCGTGTTCCCGAAAGGTAACATCCATAAAGACAAAAAATTTCCCAGTGGGAGGATAGTAACATCAATACCCTTTCTGAGTAGCAGAATAGCCAATAAACACACATTTGATGGCTCTAGGATCCAACTTATCACGATTTTGCATGGGGACGTGAACGTAGCAGACACAACCAAACACTTTTGGAGGAATATGAAGGAGTGAAGGAAGAGAACGATATTGGGAAAGGGTCTGGATAGGTGTTTGAAATTGGAGAACACGTGATGGCATGCGATTGATAAGAAAAACAGCTGTGTGAATGGCATCACCCCAAAAACGTTTAGGAACGTGCATAGCAGAACATAAAGAGCGAGCCACATCCAAGAGATGACGATTTTTACGTTCTGCTATACCGTTCTGTTGAGGAGTATGTGGACAAGATGTTCGATGAATGATACCGTGTTGTTGAAAAAATGTTCCAAGTCCATAATTCAAATATTCTTTCCCATTATCAGATCGAACAACTTGAATTTTAGCATGAAATTGGGTTTGAATCATTTGATGAAAGATTGGAAAAATAGACATAACCTCACTCTTATTTTTGAGTAAGTATACCCAAGAAACTCGAGTGCAGTCATCAATGAAAGAGACAAAGTATTTAGCACCAGTATAAGTAGGAATATGAAATGGTCCCCAAACATCAGAATGAATAAGAGAGAAAGGAACATTACTTTTATGGGAACTTAAAGGAAATGAGACACGATGATTTTTAGAAAGAATGCAAGTTTCACAATGGAAATCAGAAACCTTGACTTTAGAAAATAAAGAAGGGAATAGATATTGCAGGTACTGAAAGGAAGGGTGTCATAATCTTTTGTGCCATAACCAAATTTTTTCAGAAGCTTCAAATTGTTTGGCCTCCACTTGACAACTGTAACTTGTCTTCTCACAATCTGGTGGTAAGTCCAAGTAGTATAGACCTCCCCTCTCTCTACCATGACCAATCAATGCTTTCGTTCGAATATCCTGAAACCAACAATGGGTAGGAGAAAAGATGGCAAGACAGTTTAGTTGATTTGTAAGTTTACCAATGGAAAGCAAATTGTGAGAAAGATTAGGAACATGTAAAACAGATGAGAGAGATAAGCCTGGTGTTAATGAGATGGAGCCTGCTCCAAGCACTGGAGTAGAAATACCATTAGCAACTTTAACGGTATTTAAAGGTGGAGTAGTGTGAGAAACAAACCATGTAGAGTTATTGGTCATGTGGTCAGAAGCCCTTGAATCAATGATCCAAGGTTTATTGGGAGGAACAATTGTAGTGTTCAAGGCAAAACCAAAGTTACCTGCATCGACTAAGGAAGTAGAAGCAGTAGTAGGAGAAACTTACCTGCATCGACTAAGGAAGTAGAAGCAGTAGTAGGAGAAACTAAGTGAGCAGATTGATCCACCCGAGGTATGGAAGGTGTTAGTGTCAGGTGTGCTTGTGATCCACCAATGCCTTTCTTTTGATTTTCCTTCTTTTGAACCCACCAATCAGGATATCCATGCAGCTTGAAGCAAATGTCTCTAGTATGCTTATCCTTGTCACAATAAGTACACTTCCTTGTATCAGTAGTTTTGGATCCACCTAATCGAGAATTGGAGACTCCACGGGGAAATCGAGACGGAGCAGCTACCATGGCGGATCCTTCCACTTGTGGGCCAACCAACATAATGGTTTGCCTACTTGCTTCAACATTCACAAGAGCATAAGCAGCACGAACAGAAGGCAGAGTTGTTTGAGTCAAAACTTGACTGCGAACATAATCTAAATGAGGATCAAGACCAGCCAGAAAATCATACAATCTTTCTTCCGAAATTTTTGTCTCTCGGGTAGCAATATCATCAGCGCACTTCAATTTTCCAAGACGCAAGAAATCAATTTCTTGCCATGTTTGCTGAAGTTTACCATAATATGCAGATAAAGGTTCTCCATTTTGGCGAGTCGCCAGTGCTTGACGGCGAAGTTCGTATAACTTTGATGCATCTTTTTCAATTGAGTAAGTTTGGGTAACAGCATCCCAAACATCTTTTGCAGTAGAGAGTCGGAGAAAAATGGCCCGTACATCTCTGGTCATGGAGTTGAGTAACCAAGATTGAACCATGGCATTCTCTTCCTCCCATATAGCATACAATGCATCAACTTCTGCTTGTGCCATTTTTGTTCCACTGACATAAGACCATTTACCTCTGCCAGTGATGTAGATGCGGACACTTTGGGACCATGAGGAATAGTTGGACCCATCCAACTTGTCTGGGGTGATATGTAGAGACATGTCACTTTGAGTAACAGTAGCTGAAACAGTGGTCTTGGAGTCACCCATTATTACTGCCTCAGAGGTTATGGGTAAATTTGTTGGGTGATTCCAACGGGTATGGCTTATGGGGTATTGGGTAGTATATATATATTTTTTTTTTTGTGGAAAGATTTCTGGGTTTTGTAGAGATACTGCAAATGGGAAGAATATGGGAAAAGATGCAGCGGAATATGTATGGTTAACAAGCTGGATATGGGTAATAATGTTGGCAGATATGGCCAAATGAAAAAAGAGTAAGATTGGATTGGTATGAAAGTAGAAGACCTGCAGAATAGCAGGTCTTATTGGGTAGATGGCAGTAGTGCAAGTAAGTGAATCAGAATAGAAACTCTTTTTGGATCAGAATTGCTCTGATACCATGCCAAAATAGAGTTAATTCCTTGATATATTAGATGATTATTTCTCATTACAAGATGAACATATATATAGGGAAAGAAAGAAGACATAAGACCTAACTTTGCCTAACTTGCCTAACTTACCTAACTTGCCTAATTTACATAAAGAAAGTTGACTAGCCTAACTTCACTAGCCATCCAATACTCATAGCTGCTTTTAGTTGACAATTCATGAGCATCACTCATATCAATCATACATAAACATTCATGAGCATCATTCATGTCAACATACATGAGCATCACTCATGTCAACATCCATGAGCATCACTTATGTCAATCAAACATTCATGAGCATCACTCATGTCAATCAAACATTCATGAGCATTACTTATGTCAATCAGCTTCAAAAGCTTCATTTACAAAAGCTCTAGCTTTGAAAGCTTCATTTACAGAGCTATAGCTTCAAAAGCTTCATTTATAAAAGCTCTAGCTTCAAAAGCTTCATTTACAGAGCTCCAGCTTCAAAGCTTCACTTACAAAGCTTCAGTGCAGTGTATACAAATACCGCCTCCGAACAATTGCCATTTCGGCCCATACATGGATTTAATTTGAAGTCTCCAGCTAATAGACTCTATTGACCGAAAACTTGGGGGACTACATTATGTACCATCTATTGGGCCTTAACTAGGCCTCATGAAAATACTTAGGGGACTTAGCCCATTATCTATGTACTGAGGAGCGAGCCTTTATTCTATAAAAGTGACTCCCTCACTTTCATTAGAGAGCACTCATGAAAAATACTTAGGGGACTTAGCCCATCACTTATGTATTGAGAAGCGAGCCCTTATTTTATAAAAGAGACTCCCTCACATTCGTTAAAGAACAACGCCGCCAGTTGAGCAACCGCCTTACCACTAGCATCACTTCTAACCCATTATTCATGTACTGAGGAGCGATCCCTTATTCTATAAAAGGGACTCATTCACCATCATTAGAGAGCATCAACTCTAGCCCATCATCCATGTATTGAGGAGTGAGCCCTTATTCTATAAAAGGGACTCCCTCACCTTTATACGCCACAAGCCGAGCCAACCAAAGCAACATAAGCCACGAGCCGAGCAGCCGAGCAGCGTGTGCTACTTCTAGTTGTGCATCATTTCAGATTGAGCACCGCCTCATATCGAGCATCAGTTCAAGACAAACATCTAGTTTCGGCCCACATATGGACTGAATTTCAAGTCTCCAGCCAAAAGACTCTCTTGATTGAAGACTTGGGGGACTACTGTTTATACCATATTTAGGGCCTCGTATTTAGACCTCGTATAAATACTCAGGGGACTTAAATGTAATTATGTGATAAGGGAATGGGCAAATATATAATTAGTGAGGAGTCCTTATTCTATAAAAGAACCCCTCACCCTCACAATTGGGGGAGGCCAATTCCTAAGGCTCCTTTCACCCCTTCTCAACGCTCTCACTCTCAGAGCTCTCTTTCTCCCTCAAATAAATACAATCAGTGTGGACGTAGCCCAAACCTTGGGGTGAACCACGATACCTCTTGTGTTATTTACATTACTTGCATATTCACGGTCGGATTTACGTTGTTCCAAGACCTCCGGTTTTGTGCATCAACATACTTCAAGATTGCATATGCCAAAAATCACAAAAAACAAACATTGAGAGATCAAGTAATGGGAAAAAACTTTTCGACGGTTATAAATGAAAAATCACGATTTAACGGTTCTTTTAACTCTGATTTTGATGATTTTTCACAACTACACTCCTTGACCCTAAACTTATTTGTATATACTTTGAGATTGTATATGCCAAAAATCACAAAAAACAAACATCAAGTAACGGGACAAAACTTTTCGACGATTATAAACGAAAAATCACGATATAATGGTTATTTTAACTCCGATTTTGATGATTTTTTACAACGACACTCCTTGACCCTATATAAATACAATGAACTAATTCTAACTTCAATTTAATATATTTACACTAGTGGATACCACAAAATTTTATGTTATACTTAATGAAAGTATAAATAAACTCTAAATGTTAGGGTATCTATTGTTTTGATGGGGTACGCATTCTACAAAACTAATTTCAACGATCCAACTGTCAAACTTGTTTGTATATACTTCAAGATTGCATACACCAAAAATCACAAAAAACAAACATTCAAAGATCAAGTGACAGGACAAAACTTTTCGACAGTTATAAATGAAAAATTGCAATTTAATGGTTATTGTTACTCCGATTTTGATGATTTTTTTTACAACTACACTCCTTGACCCTATATGAATACAATGAACTGATTCGATCGTCAATTTAAAATATTTACACAAGTGGATACCACAAAATCTTATGTTATACTTAATGAAAGTATAAATTAACTATTAAATGTTAGGGAATCTATTGTTTTGATGGGATATGCATTCTATGAAACTAATGTCAACGATCCAACCGTCAAACTTATTTGTATATAATTCGAGATTGCATACGCCAAAAATCACAAAAAATAAACATTCAGAAATCCAGTAATGGGACAAAATTTTTTTACGGTTATAAACGAAAAATCACGATTTAACGGTTATTTTAACTCCGATTTTGATGATTTTTCACAACTACATTCCTTGGCCCTATATGAATACAATGAACTAATTTGATCTTCAATTTAATATATTTACACTAGTGGATACCACAAAATTTTATGTTATACTTAATGAAAGTATAAATAAACTATAAATGTTAGGGAATCTATGGTTTTGATGGGATACGTATTCTACAAAACTAATTTCAATGATCCAACCGTCAAACTTGTTTGTATATACTTCAAGATTGCATACGCCAAAAATCACAAAAAACAAACATTCAGATATCAAATAACGGGACAAAACTTTTCGACGGTTATAAACAAAAAATCATGATAAAACGGTTATTTTAACTCTAATTTTGATGATTTTTTACAACTACACTCCTTGACCCTATATGAATACAACGAATTGATTCGATCGTCAATTTAAAATATTTACACAAGTGGATACCATAAAAAAAAAAGGCAATGGAAGAACCCCAAAAGAAAAGCAAAAGGGAAAAGGAAAAAAAACACAAACAAAAAGCTTTGCGTGACGTAGGTGCACCTACGTCGTTCAAAACAGCTTTGTGCAACACAGGTGCACATACGTCGCGCAAAGTTTTTTTTTTCCTTCCCCTTTTGCTTATGAACTAATTCGATCATCGATTTAAAACATTTGCACAAGTGAATACCACAAAATGTTATGTTATATTTAATGAAAGTATAAGTAAACTCCAAGTGTTAGTGAATATATTGTTTTGATGGGATACGCATTGTACGAAACTAGTTTCAACAATCCAACTGTCGAACTTGTTTGTATATGCTTCGAGATCACATATGCCAAAAATCGCAAAAAACAAACATTAAGATATGAAGTAATGGGACAAACATTTTCGACAGTTATAAATGAAAAATCACGTTTTAATGGTTATTTTAACTTTGAATTTGATGATTTTTTACAGCTACACTCCGTAACCATATATGAATAGAGTGAACTAATGCAATTGGGAATTTAAAACATTTACACAAGTGGATACCATAAAAGAAAAAGGCAATGCAAGAACCCCAAACGAAAAAAAAAACATTGCGTGATGTATGTGCACCTGCGTCGCGCAAAACAACTTTGCGTGATGAAGAACTACGTCGCTCAAAGCTGGGAAAAAACAGTAAAGCATTCTTGGTTTGGCGCCAAAATCTTGCACGACGCACAAAATGTCGCGCAAACGTCTTTTGCGCGACGAAGACTAGCGTCACACAAAGTGTCGTTGCGCAAAGGCCGTTTGCTCGACATTTTGTGTTTAGCGTTATGCAAACATACTTTGCGCGACGAAATTTGCTGCGTCACACAAACATGTTTTGGTACTAGTGAAGGTTGTTGATATTTCTTTGCATTATGAAAGCTAGTTTTTGGGCCTGAAATATTGGATTTGGACGAATGTGGGTAATTCACTATCCTTGGCCCAGTGATATCCTTTCAGGGCAGATGGTATTCAGATGTTCAGCCTGCGATGGATTTAGCTTAGTTCTAACAAGAGTGGGACTCTTAGAAAGGCAAATTGAAATGGTAATCTGGCTGAGTTCTAATTGAAGTGAAATTGTACAAGATCAGAATGGGTTTTGATAAGGATTATATTATTCTAAGAGTCAAAACTCATTGCTACTAAGATATAGAATATATTTAAAACATAAAAGGACTAAGTTCAAAGTCCTAGTTCTAGTCCAAGTGGGCGAAACAGTGTGCATATTTGTTTTGGCTAGTGATAAGATAACATTGATACTATCCAAAGGGACGCCGAGAAAGCATATGTCTAAAAGGACTCTATTTCGCATACTTGGTGATCACGAAATTTATTGCTACAAATAGAAGTGAGTCTACAACATGAAAAAGACCTTCAACTCAACATACAAATGCCATGTGCAAATCTTGCTCTATGCGAACCTCTTATACTCTGAGAAATCACTCTCTCCTAACTTTATCAATACATTTTCAGTTTGGATTAGAATCATTGCGTGACAATCGGCAACATCTTCAGTTTGGATTAACAACACTAGAGTAAAAGAATGAAGCGATCGAGGAGCATCTTTAGTATGGAGTAACATCATTGTTTCAAGTTCGAGCTGATTACCTATCCAACTCTCTAATGGTGAGGTGTTAACAGGTTACTCAGTATTCGGCACATTGAAAGCTGAACCTTATTTGAACTTAACTGTGGCTAGCAGCCTTGTCTTTAGGGTCTAGGCCAAGGCCGAGACATGTTCCTTCCTCGATCGTGATTGTTCGTACACAAAAGTCAACAGAGCGTTTAACATCACCACCACATTCATTTTACTCGCTAACCAAGCTTGGTTGCAAGTTGGCATGTTCGTATCCACCAAAAAACATACTTAGCTTTAAGTTACTCGACCTGCGCACCACGTAGACTTGGTAGTTTTTTTAAGCGTCAACAACTAGTTAATATGTGATTGGGCGTTGTCAAGATTACTTGAGGTTTTTTTTAGCAATTATTTGAGGTTTTTGATTAATTTCTATTTACTTGAAAGAAAAAAGATTAAATTACATGAGTTACTTTCTTTGCATTTATAATGAATTTCTTTTTGTGTGTAGGTCTGTTTGTGATTGTGACAAGTAATTCCTTGTTGTAAAGGTGGCTGGATGGTTGGCCACTAATCCACTAAAACATGATTTCTTTGGGTGTAAAGTTAGGTGGGAAGTTAGGCTCCTACTTTTCCTATAAATACAAGGCTTATGGAAGACACAAAATACACAAAATACACATAAGCCACACGGCATAAATTGTAAAGGAAGGAAGATGAGAGAAAAGAGAGGAAGAAGAGATGAGAGAATAGAGAGAGATTTATCTTTGTACTCCTATTATTCCAGATTATAAATAAAAGCACCACTGTTGTCCCGAGGATGTACTCCAATCACACTGACTGTAGAGGAATCTCGTCAATATTGTGTCTTGTTTCATTTATTCCATTGCACACACACAACCGATTTTACAACACGTTATTAACACGACTCTCTAAACTTAACTGGTTCTCATCCCCCTTCATCGAAAAATGCTTCCTCCAATGATTTTACTGTTCTTCTTCGTCCTCTGCCTCACCTGCTTGATGTACCATTGTCAAGATCTGCTAGCACCGTGCCTACTCCTAGTTCTCAATATAACAATTACTTATATTTTTGATTTCTTGTTTGGTGTAGCTCCTGACTACCAACCCAATGTTTATTTATGTTAATTTTATTGGAATCAAATATGGTGCGGTACAATTGCCCATCTTGAACTGCAGATTTAATTTTACTGTAATTTTAGGTGGTGCGGTATAATCGCCTACCTTCCTCTGCATATTTAAATTTCCCTGCTACTTGAGTGGTGCGGTATAATCGCCCACCCTATGCTATATCGTTTCAATGAAAGTGGTGTGGTACAATTGCCATCCTCATTAATCATGTAAATCTCAAGCCTAAAGTTTTGAGTGCTTATCATTTTGACTTGAAGATCAAAATAAAAAAAATTGGTAAGAACCAGAAGTTCTAACACTACATTCATCTAGAATACATATTATTGTAAGTTCTTACACACCTCATTTTTCTTTCAAAAAAGAAAATGACGAACTTGGCAAAACTTGATTTTATTGCCCTGGATATTACTGGGAAGAACTACCTTACTTGGATAATGGATACCAAGATTTATCTGGAGGCAGGGAATCTTGGAGAAACCATCAAGGATGAAAACGCATCATCCCAAGATCAGGCAAATACCATGATCTTTATCCATCACCACCTTGACAAAGGACTGAAGGGTGAGTACCTAACGGTTGAAGATCCATTAGCCCTCTAGAAGGCATTGAGAAATAGATACAATCACCAGAAAACGGTGATTCTTCTAAGGACTCGTTATGAGTGGACACACCTATGGATCTAGGATTTTAAGACAGTTGTTAAGCACAACATGTTATAAATAGGAAAAGTTAGATTTGTGACAAATACACACTTATAAATAGGGATAGGAGAGAAGCGAGTGCAAGATATCACACTGTTTAATTTTGTAACTATAACACAAAAGATTGCAGGAAAAGATGAAGGGAGGGATATTGATATTATTGCTTTCACTTCTTTTCTTTGTTGTGTGTTGTAATCACACACGGAGTGCTCTTTATATATAGCTACATCCGTAACAAAACAAAATGTGAAATGATTTCTCTTTTTGAAAACTTCACATAATAACAAATTACTATAACCTTTTTTAAAACTTCGCATAATAACAAATACATTACTGTGGGCAATTCTCACAAAAATGTATTTGTTATTATGCAATGTTTTCAAAAAGATCACAGTAGTTTGTTATTATGTGAAGTTTTCAAATAGAGCAATCACTTCACATTTTGTTTTGTCACGGATGTGGCTTTATATAAAGAGCACTCCGTATGTGATTACAACACACAACAAAGAAAAGAAATGAAAGCATTAATATCATTATCCCTCTCTTCCTCTTTTCTTGCAATCTTTTGTGTTATAATTACGAAACTAAACAATATGATATCTTGCACTTACTACTCGACTGTCCCTAGTAAAGATTATCTCTCTAACTTTTCAGATTTATAACATTCCTCCCATTTTAAAAAATTGGTTCCATTTGTATACTTGGTGGGATTTGATATATCTTAACCAAACCCTTTGTATGGGCTCTTTGTGCGCTTGTATGGTCTGTATAGGCTTACTTCTCTTGTAATTTAGCCGCTTTATCAGTTTTTGGTGGTTTCCAAATACTAATAAAAAATTCAGATAAAATAAAATATTTTCCTAAAGTTGCCAAAGACAATGATTTATTTACTAGAGTTAATATCGTGTCTTTGGCATAATAACTCATCAACATAGATACTTTTTGTTGAAGCTAAAATAATGCTCTCTCTCAAGCATGTTTTACATGACAACTTCTTGTCATGAAACTTTTGGCATGTAAGAGAACACTTTTCTCAACCATGCACTAAATATTACAGTCTAGGTCTCACTTTTCTCAACGTCTACATCTTAGATTGAACACTTTTTCCCACACACCGTATTCCCAAAAGAACCTTAATATAACAATTTAACCCAATATACTCTTCACACCAAAATTTGCAGCTTATAAAAAGTTGGAATAAATATGGGACTTGTGGGTGGTCTTCAAATGATTTGCTCAATTTTCATTTTGGGAATGATTGAAGTCGCCACTAAAAGTCCAAATCTGGAGATACAAATGGAAGTACGTAGTTCCACCAATATTGAAAGTCCAACAGTCTGTTTCATTACAGCTTTGTTTTCCCACTTGATCCCCCTTTTTCGTTTATTGATAAAAAATAGCTTTTGTTTATTTTCAAGACGATGAACACCACCATGAACAAGCATATCAGAAAGATTATAATTATATTCCTTTTTGTTTAGGTTCTTAGGAAAATAAAGCTCGTGGGTGAACATAAAAAACACTTCATTTTAATTGATTATGTTCATCCACAGCCAGCCGCTGATGCTTTTTCTTCTGTTCTTTACTATGAGCTGCTAATTATAATCAAAAGTTGATTAATCAAAAGCTACAATAATAACAGCACTAACAATTCCAATCGACTATGTTAACAATATTGACTTGTTGATCAATCCAATAATTAAAATTATAAAAAATAAATAAAAATCAATCCTGTCACATATAAGAGGGTTTTATTTATTTATTATTATTATTATTATTTTTAAATTAGAAGTACAAGTCTGAAGATAGGAAAAATGAAGAGGCAGATAACATAAACATACAAATGAAAAACATAATTATAGAAAACATAAAAAGAACAAATAAGATCTTATATACCTTGAGAATGATCTTGACAAGGGGACTAATCTGAATATAGAGATACAAGGGAAAGGGAGGAACAGCTGGAAATCATAGGAATGGGCGGGCTTGGGAAGAAACCCCACAAGACAATTATTCTTGTAATTTTCCTTCTTCCCAAACAGCCCATTCCTAAAACTTCCAGCAGCTCCAATCTCCCTTTCCCTCTTCTCAGTCCTCTATCCTTCCTTTGCTTTTGGTGTTTTATCGCTACCGGTCTACGCACTTACATGTTCTTCATAATGCGCGTCCCTAACTCCTTTATATACCCCAAAAGTCCACCTCCCCACCTTCCAACCCTAGTCTCTAGAAAAATCTATTTTGCAGTTTCATCCTTGTATTTCCTAATATTTCTCATTCAAGCACCGTTGTCATTTTCCTTTGGAGTATGAGATACGTTTTGAATATTTCGGGTGGAATAAAGTTTAAGAGAAGGGGAGACTACCCAACTCAAGTTTAGGGTATACTACAAGTTTTTTTGAGGACTTACATGGAGGTTTTAGATCTTATTGTGGTTTTTACAGATTGCTCACTAAAATAGATTGCTCGTAACAAAACTTAAAACTAAGTCTTAGTCTAGCAAAGAGAATGATCTTTACCAACTCAATCAACTTTTGTTGAGAATACGTTTTAATGATTGATATTGAATGCTGAATTTATTCGTGTGTGTGAGTGAGGTTGGAGGATGGTATAATAAAATACGATATTTACCAACTCAATTAATTCTTATTAGCGATACAATTAATGATTGATATTGAATGCTGAATTTATTCGTGTGGGTGAGTGGGGCTGGGGGTGCGGTGGGGGAAATGAGTTGGAAAGGCAATGTAAAAGTTTTTCTGTTTTTTTGTTGAAAGTGAGTGTGGTGTGTACGCAAACTAAAATGACGTGTAGTGCAAAAATTCAAAGTATCAGACGCACGGAATCATCCTTTTCAAAAGGTAATGCAATAACATGTCAGTTGCACTGGCATGGAAAAGAATAGTATAAGACCCAAGGAATCATCCTTTTCAAAAGGTGGAGAGATTTTTATCAGTATACGAAATAGTACATCACGTGTTATTATATAAATAGTAGAATATGTGTGTTAAAAAATTGATAACTTAAAAAATAAAATTTTTCACCACTCATATTAAACCACGTGATGTAACACTTATGTTCCTACCGCAACTAAAATTTTCTCCAAAAGGTGATGCAATAATATGTCGGTTGCACTATCATGGAATCATTCTTTTCGGCCGCAAATGCTGAGAGTAGGTTGTGGGCTACAATTTGATAGGAAAAGCTTAGGTTGGCCGTCGTTTGGGGTAAATGATTAAATTGGAACGTAGATTCGGCAGTTTCTGACATGATATGGTGATACAACATGAAAATGATATGAAAATAATGAATTTTAGGTTAACACAATAACTAATCGGGTTATTATCGGATGATCTGTTAAGAACCCGTTAATAACATGTTCTTAACGGATATACACGTAGGTAATACGTAAGTATCCCGTTTCGACCCGTTAAGAAAAAATTTATTTTGATAATTTTAAATTTTAATTACGAAAATATTTATTATAAAATACAATAGCCATATTAATGTATACAATATATTCTATATTAAATATATAGTTTTGTATTATTATTCTATATAAGTTAAAAAAAAAGTTTTAGTCATTATTTATTTTTATTATGACAGTTCCTTATTATCATTACTAGGATCAATTTTACCTAAAATGTTGTTGTCCAAAATTAAAATAAACTAGTATAATATTTGTATAGGTAAGAACTACGAAGACATACATACAAGTATGAAAAATGTGAAAGAATATATAAACACTCGTGATTCATCATTATTCCTCAGTTAGCACGAGATGTGTATAGGACGGGATGTTCTTTCTTGGTGGCAAATGAAGCGTTTTCATTATTCAATACTTTCTCAGTAGCACGATATGTGTTAACAATTCCTATTTCAACTGTTGCGACAGAATCTGCTTTTAGTATTGGGGGTAAAGTGCTAGATCAATATTATACTTCATTGTTGCCAGACATGGTTCAAGCTTTGCTGTGTACACAAGATTGACATTTTGGAAAATGAGGTAGTATATCGTTTATATAATATAGAACTATTTTTTATTTCTTTTCATAATTATTTTTAGCACCCATAATTTGAATAGTTTACAATGTTTGATACTATTTCTCATGGTGATTGAGGAAAATTGAAGGGTTTGATTGGAAGAAAATATGCAAGGTTCCAATGTTCTAATGTTCCAAGTTCCTTAATTTTGCAAATCTTTTGAACATTTGATATTTTTTAATGTTCTAATGTTTTTTTTTATTATTATGCTCTTATTTTGGGTATGTAAATATACTTAAAAGAAAAACACGTTTGATATTTTGTAATATTCTAATTTTTTTTCATTATGCTCTTATTTTGGGTATGTAAATATATACTTAAAAGAAAAATGTGTTTTTATGTTTTAGATGTGACAATATGGTATGTATATACTTATTTAGTATTATGTTTTTCATTTGATTATTTATTGGTTTAAAATATATTTTCCTTAACAGGTAACGGGTCGGGTTATATTACCTTTTAATATTATTGGGTCGATTTCGGATCGAGTGATTTTACTCGTTTATTTTACCGGATGTTACACGGCACGACTCGTTAAGATATTGGGTATAACACAAAAACAACACGAACACAAAAAAGACGACACGAATGCTAGGTCTATTGGAATGTATAGTCTAGCTTCAAAGTATACTTGAAGATAGAAGAGAGTGATATTTCGTTTTGACGGGGTTAGGTACATGAAGCAAAATTCTATAATCTCTAAATCCTCCCAATTTGAGAGGATTGGAATGGACAAATTCATCCTTGAGTATTGCATCTCCTACCTCTGAGTTGACCATTATTTTTTGGGAACTTTAACGAAAAGCACCCAGTACTGTTCATTTTAACGAAAAACCACATTTTTACACTAAAAAGTCAATTCTGATACTATTCACTTTACCCTTTATTTTGTCCTTATCATTAAAACTCAAAGTTTTCAAGCCCTTTTCATTAGTTTTCCTTTATTTTTTTTATTTTTACATTCAATATACCTTAAATCTAGTCCTTTATACCAAATTTGTCATGGCCGATATTTCTTCACTCTTGGTTCATGTATTGAGTTTGAGGAATAAATTTCCTGGGGATGATAGTGGTTGGAATCTCGGTATTGCTCTTCACTAGTAATTGTTAGGTAATAGATTCAACTAACATGAATGACAAAGAAATATTATATTTGTGTGAGTTTCATATCTACTTAGTGACTGACTCATTATGTGGCTTGGCCAATGTTCTTTCTCTTTGGAGGAGAATATCCCCCTCCCTTTGGAGTTAATATCGTTGTATCAAAAGTAAAAAATCGAGGTCCCATTTTAACTCTAGAGTTATTTACAAGATGAAATATGACTTTGCATATACAATATAACCTCTATATAGTCCTAGTGTTGAGATCAAACTAATTTTATAATTAGAGAAGTTATTACTTGATAGATGTGTAGTTAAAAAAAGTTATATATATATATATATTTTTTTTTTGACTTGGTTATCCTTATTCCTTGACGAAAGTATGGATACAAGAACCTCAGTAGTAGTCGAGGATGCCAATTTTCAAGATGTAACTTTAGAAAAAAAGACACATAATCTCTAAAAGCTAGTGTATAAATGTAACAATAAATTGTTGTCCCATGCAACTTTAGAAAAATATTTTAGTTCATCTTAAATTTTTTTTATTTGTAACAATATTACATATTTTTTTATTGATTGACAAGACTTGTCACAGCCCGTCCCGGGATTCTTTATATCGGGGACGTGAAATGACGGAATTACCCTTGACGGGTATTAAGGTATGTGTGTGTGTGGCATATTATTGGATTAAATTCATTCCTAAACTTTAGGAAAAATAATTAAGTTAGATTAAATTGGATTGTATTTTGTGGTTAGGGAGTTAAAAATTAGGAGTAATTAGGTTTTCATCCTTATTTTTACTACTCTATTGATTAAAACCTTATTACTTTTCAATTTTTGATCAAGGTCCTTTGTATTAATAATATCATTAATTATTTCAATAATAAAATATTTTTTATTTATAAATATATTCATTTAATATTAAAAATGTTACAATTAGTATATTTATATTTATGGCTAAATTTTTTATCATATATTTTTATTTTTAGTTTGTACCCATTTTTAATTTGCAACCCTTTTTTAATTTGTACCAATTTTTCTTTCAATTTTAATTTGTACCCATATATTAATTTCTTTTTGTGCCCATATTTTTTAAAGTTTTATTTGTATTGTACCCATATTTTTTTAATTTATTTGTACCCATTTTTATTTTTGCTAAATGTACCCATTTTGAAGAATATACCCATGTTTTGATACAATAATTTTTTGGTTATTTTTTATGAATGTACCCATGTTTACACACACACACACAATAGTATATTTATATTTTAATATTTTTAATCCCACAAATTATGTTTTTTATTTAAAATCTCATTAATATAAACAACTATAAATTTTAATTTTTAATTTAAAAAATATAGTAACGTACATAGAAATAAATTATCAATTAATTTTAGGGACTTGGATCAAAAATTGAAAACCAACAAAGTTTCAGTCAAAGATTGTTCATAACTAGGGACCGCATCCAAAGTCTCCCTAAAAATTAAATGGATGGTGATGGTTTGGGTGGACCACACAACACATATACACAGTCACTCTTTCCCTCTCCCTTCCCCATGTCTCTCTCTCTCCTCTAGATTTTTCTGCTTCACGTGCACTGTGCACGTACGGAAAAGCTAGGAACCTCCCATTTCTTCACGGATCGAAGGTTCTAAGGTAAGATTTGAACTCCTAGTAAGCTTGTGAGTTCGTATATGTGATTTTTGGAACTTAAAATCCTCAAAATCATCGTGAAACCCTAACCCCGAAAATGTGCATTGTTCATGCACACGTAAAATCTTGCATTTCAGGGAATTTCAAGCGCACAGTGAGCTTAAGGAGATCCTCATGAGCTTCGGGGTACTTCGTTGGTAGAATTTGGACGTCGGAGGACTGAGAACGGAGTTTTTCAAATTTGGCCGGATTATCGAGCTTCCTCAGGTAAAATCTAGTGGATTTTAGACCTTGAAACTAGTCTATCATGATTCTACATGTTGAGGGCTTCAAATTGATATAAAATACGAAGAAAACGGTTGAGAATCGAAGGAGATCAAAGCGTTTGAAAATTCCCCAGATTCCGGCCACCTGAAAAACCAGTCCGGCGAGCCCAAGGTAGGAGACGCGCGTGGGGGGGGGGGAGGCGTGTGAACCCGTACCCTTCCCGGCTCGTGGGGGTGCGTGCCACGTCAAAAAAAATTTCTAAAAATTTCTCGACGTCCGTGACGTTGAGTAGGTCGATGTGGTATATTCATATACCCAAATTGAGCACCGTATGAGAAGTTATTTCGAATTGTTGGTTATGTGCATGAAATTAACGTTTTTATAGTTGTTTCGCAGATAGGTGACACCTATCCCGAGGACGAGAGCATCCAGGGACGTCACGGGGGTTACGACCCATCGACTTACCAGTGAGTGGGCATTTGTTTTCTATATATACCTATATACTATTGATTTTCCCAGAAATCGAATTTAAATGAAATGCGTTATGAAGTGAGTTTTGAAATGCCATGCATAGAAATTATATGAATTATATGATTGGTATATGATGCATATATGTGACATGGTGCTGTGGACGCACAGGTGAGTATCAGGTGAGGTTTATGTTGTTCATGTGATTTAATGATGATGTGAATTGTGTTGAGAGCTCATAACCTGCACCCCCGGTGTTAATGCTTATGTTATTCACCCTGCATCACACGCTCACCTTGGATCCAAGTAGATGCTAGTCGTACAGACCATTAGAGGTGGTTCCGACATGCCAGTCGTACAGACCATTAGAGGGGTTCCGACTGGTAGGTGACTTTAGATTATGTGCACAGATGATTGATGAGAAAAGCACTAGAGCGTATTATTTCACCATCTTAGTCGTACAGACTACTATAGGTAGTTCCGACTTATGTGCAGTGTAGTGCCGTACAGGTCACAGTTGGTGACTCCGGTTGGATGAGATATTGAGCTATAGAATCAGTTGTACAGGACCACTGTAGGGTCTCTGGTTGATTTATTATTTCACCTGATTTATATTGATGCATTCATATTATATTTTGGCATATGGCAAGGTATGGCATATTCTTTCTGAAAAGCGTTGAAGGATTGTGATTTGAGCTTTTGATGATATATATATGTTTATATACTATTTTTCTGGGAAAGTATACAGGTTTTACAGCGAGGGGGATATAATTGTTGATAAATGAGTTGTTTTGAAAAGCTTTATTTTCGCCCACTCATGTTCTCGGTTTTGCGCCTCTCCAGGTTGTAGATAGCAGCGTTGGTGGCTCACGAGGAATTTCACGGCGTTCTGACAGACCACCTAAATGTAGGACTCACCTGCGGGTGTTGTAATTTAATTATAGTCCTACTTGACTGCACCTAGGCTTCTATGCTCTGTTTATGTGTGTTTAACACTCTTGCATTATCGTTGGATGTTATTTGCTTTTAGTTGGCTTTTATTTGTTCGTATTTCTTACCTTATCGTTTCCGCTTGCACTTATGGTTACGTCACGGTCACGTGACGGCCAGCACGCCTTGATTTCTGGGTCGAGGTGTGTCAAGACTCGAAAGCTTTAAGTTTTAACAATAATGACAAAATAAAGGGTAAATTGAATAGTACATGATTGACTTTTTAGTGTAAAAATATGATTTTTCATTAAAATGAATAGTAGCAGAAGTTTTTCGTTAAAGTTTCCATAATTATATGCCAACGGGTTCTTTCTTGCTTCCCAATTTCTTCCCTCATCGGTCTAACACAGAGGTGAAGCTAGTAATTTTCTTCAATTTTTGTGATTTTGTTACTAGCTTCTTAAGCTGTTTCCCTCTATTTGTTTTCAAATTCCGGTACCTACATGCACGTCGATTCAACGTATTTTTTCTGTTTCTCTATTAATTTTCTCTTCTTGCTATTATGTAAATATATAGGAGGTTGATTAAGAGGATAGACCCTCAAGATTTATCCAACTGCAGCGGGATAACATAGAGATGTTTTGGAATCCGCAATTATCGGAGATTAATAATACAATAGGTTATTTTTCTGTCCAATTTTTTTTATATGTTCTTGTCCTTGTTCATCATTGCTCTTCTTCTAAGTTAATGTTCAAAAGAAAATAGAAAGTTAATAATATATATATATATATATATTTTTTTTTTTTAAAAAAAAAAAAAAAAGAAAAGGGAAAACTGGTGGTAAACCACGGTTCTATATGTTATGCTAAAGTCACATACACTTGTTCTTATAACGTATGATGCAGTGACAAGAAAACATCACCAGCTGCCTCTTGCAACGGTAAAAAAAATCATGAAATCTAATAAGTAAAGGTTTGTACTTTCAATTTGAATTAAAAAGTTATAATTTAATTAGATGAACTAAAAGTGTATTAATTTACAAATGACAATTTAATTAGATGAACTAATTATTAATTATTCACAGTTGGTAAGCTCAGATACTCCAATTGTCTTTTCCAAAGCCTGTGAGTTGTTTATTATGGAGTTAACACTCCGCTCTTGGCTCCACACTGAAGGAAACAAAAGACGTACACTCAAGCGGCGTGACATTGCCGGAGCGATTAGGCATGACAGGCTTCTTGAATTTTTGCTTGATGTTGTTCCATTTTATCACAATGATTCACAAAAGGTGTTTCTTCTTAATTGTTTTGATTGTTTCTTGTTTGCTTAGAGTAGTGCATGGTGGAAATAAAATAGTGCATTGCTAGCCAAATGTATAGTAACTAAAGTTTTTCATTTGAAACAATTCATCTATCTATATGTTTAAATTGGAAAAATAAATTTAAAAATCCTTATAATTTCAGGAAGAGGAGATTGGGAAAGTAAATTCCCAATAGGATGGATCTCGAGCAACTACTGGACCATTTCGTCTTCCTGCTGCTAGGACGAATTAGCTGGCTGGTGTAAGCGTTCAACCAAAATTTTCACTTATTAAATACACAATTGATTTGAAAATGATTTATCGAACAGGTCCTTCTCAAATATAAATTGTATTTGATTGACCGAAATTTGTATTTGTCTTGCAGTGAACGAAAAGCTTGGAAATAGGATGAAGTCTAGAAGGTTTATGGTAGCTAGCAAGAAATTAACGGTCATCTTATGTTTTCCAACCGAATTTAAGCTTAGTTGGTTAAAATCAGTCATCCTTACACCCATGATCTTGAAGCCAATTCTCTCATCCCACGAGTACTTGTGTCAAACAAAAAAAGGGTCATTTTATGGTGTACGAAATAAATAAAAACATGTATTAATTGATGAACAAGTCACACTAAACTAAAAATAAAACATGGATGAAAGTACTACATCAATCTATGCTTTTTTGTTCTTTTAAGTTGTGTGCCACCCAAACCAATTAATACGTAGTAGCTATGTATTTCGGTTTTAAGAATCCATGAGCATTAACAGAGAAAATCTGATGTTGTGTGTGGTATTGAATAGTCAAACTCAAAGTCCACTGATTCATTATTTTTGTAAGAACTCTTAACATAAAGCATTGCAGCGTCTTTTCCTATTGAAAAAGAAGAAAAGCTAGATTTTGATATAAAAACTGAATTTAGAGAGAGGTTTATTACAGATTCAAGATTAATTAATGAAAACAAAAGCATTTGGATACTGTTTAAATGGGATTTACTCGAACGATTCTGATTTGAAATAATGAGATAAAAAAAGGTTAAGTGAGAAAAGAAGAGGCGGGTGCCATAAGATGTAATTAAGGTTGCATGTAATTGGATGTGTAGATTCCCAGCTAGAGATTGGATTTGACTTCTATGACATAAAATGTGAAAAATAAATATCTATGTTAAACAAGCTCTTAGCTTAGTCGTACTTCCTTTTCTAATATTTTAAAAATGTCTTAAATTCAAATATTTTAAAAATGTCTTAAATTCAATAGGAAACTAGATTATAATCCTTAAATTATATATTATACATATACTAAAACCCAAACTCGGGTGGCACTGTTTTTCACTGTTTGTGAACAGTGAAATGGCGAAAAGGCCCTCGAGTTTATATACTAAAAGAGAAAAACGTGGTACTGTAGAAGTAACAGTGTCATTCCATTTTTACCCTTCAGTTGTTCTGTAAGTTTAGCTTTTGTGTACATTATACAGTAAAATGACATTTTTGTCCCTGTTGTGCAATAGAAATCTCTTGATTTCTTCAGAACCCCAGAAACCTCAGCCCTCAAGTTCGCCATCTCTCTTCCATCTATACTCTCTTTGATCTCTGCTTTGCGCTTTTCAAAGTTTGCTATTTGATCTCTTCCATCGGCTTTTCTCTGAGAGTCCAACTCGAGTCCTCAAGTAAAAACCCTATGCTTCCCTGTTTTTCTTCTCAGCATCTTACAAAATCTTTTCAGTTTTAGCAGCAGCGGCCACCACTTTTCCTGAAAGGAATCTATCTTCCTCCTCACAGTTTCTCAAATTATTAGGCTTTTTTCCTTTAACCTTTGGTTGAGCTCTGAGTCTATGACCACATTTTTAGGGTATTCGACGACCGATCGGAGGGTTTTGGCCGAATTCCGAAGTGGGTTCACTCTTTCGGCGAGGTAAGTGGATCAGTTTGAGTTTGAGTAATTCTGTGTGCTTTAAACTTGAATTTGGTTGTTACTTTTCTAATAGATGAAGTTAAAAAAAGGGTAATCTAAGTTTCCTGTATGTTAACATTTTGCTTCTTTGTGTTATAATTTGAAAGCTTGAATTCATTGATTTGACTAAGTCAAGACGATTTGTTGCGACTTGACCATACTTTGTTATTTTATTCAATTTCTCAGCAACCAAATGGTGCATGGAAGAAAAGATCTGTTATTTCCTAAAAGGAATTGCTCCAAGATTCAGTTATTTATTTACAAAGTGTTTTATTTACAAAGTGTTTAAAGATGAGATTGTATTAGGGGTCTTCAGATAAACTCTGCTTAGATTAATTTTCTGGAGATTTGGTACCAATATCAGTTTGAGATTCTTTGTTGGATTATGGTGGATGTTTTCAATTTTTGGCCGAACTTACCTACTAGAGGGAGATCAGGTGTTTGACTAAACACATGTTTTTAACTACACTTTTTTAAGCAGTATGAGAAGCGTGGGAAGAATTGAAGAGAGCATATTAGTGATCCTCAATTCTTCCAATCTAAAGACAATTAGGATATCTAAGAGGATAACAAGTCTTAATAGACCACAGTTTTGCTTGCTCCCCCATTCTTTAGAACGGACATTAGTGGCATTTTGTTATTATGCTTAACCGTGGCATTCATGAATTTGCTTATATATATATATATATATATATATATATATATATATTGTTGTTATGCTTAATCGTGACAGTTCAAGCTATTGGTTAGTTGATGTAGAATGAGGTTTTGGTTGTTTTAGGGATCTTTTGTTTTCTTACATGTAGAAAGGAATTGAGGATGTATTTTTTTGTGTGATTTTATATTTATTCTACATTTTTGGTTGGTTAAGTATTAATGTTTGTTTTAATTTCAGATTAATTTCGTCTTCAGGAGATTAATTAAAAGTTAGAAGGGTGGAGCCAGTTGTTTTTGAAAAAGGTTGGTTCTTCAATTTTTTATTCGAATGTTTATGGTTGTTTGAACACATCTTTCTCTAATATAAACAGAGCTAAATTGAATTCCTTTTTTTTTTTTTTGCATTGTATTTGCTTTTTTAAATTTATTCCTTTTTGTTCATCAATGTAATTTGGTTTTGCAGGCCAAAATTTTCCAGGAAGAAAATTAAGCTTGAAATTAAATTGGGGTATAAATGCTTCCACTTATTTAGCGTGTTCAATTGATTATTACTTTGAATGCATTATGGTTTTGAATATCATTAGTACATTATAATGTTATAATATTTTTGTATAGTGGTTTGGAATAATTACATGTGTGTGTGGTTGTGGTATTCATGTCTCCAGTTTGTTCATTGAAAGAATTCTATGGGTGTTCATGAGAATATCATTGGATTTTCAAAACATGGGGATTCATTAGGAAAAACAAATTCACAGAGAAGAGGATGTTTTACCTTTTTTTTAATACAATTTGTAGAAGTGGAAGATGATTTGTAGAAGTAGAAGATGATTCAATAATATAGTGAGCTTAATTAGAGAAAAAAAAAACCAATTAAAAACATGTAAAAGCATTATTGTTAAAGAAAAGATATGTGTTTAGTCAAATATCATATGCAAATCCTAATAATAATTGTCATATCAATGATTATAATTTGATGTTCTTATATATTGTGTGTAGAAGTAATATAATTTGAAGCCAACTATAGTTAGAACTAGCAGGAATGCCTGCGCTTTGCTGCGGGTTTTCAGACCATGAATAATATTCATAGAAAAATTAACTGAAAATGCTACAGCAGTACAATTGCATTCATAAATGTAGCAAGTCAGAGAAAGCATGTTTTACATGAGTAACGCATTCTTGTTTTTTCTATTTTTAGATGTCTTTACTTATAAATCTATTTTTTTAGAATGAAGTTAGAAGATGTTCTAGCACCAAAGACTATTAGAAGTTGGAAAGATATGCCGATGCAATGGTTTGAGAACAGTTTGGGAAATTTTGGGTAGGAAATATGCTCGCAAGGAAAACCGACAATGGGTGAGTATCACTCTCAAAGCTGGTTAATGTCTAAATTAGTGAATTACCATAATCTTTGCTGGTTGGTTTTCACTCTTGGCCTAACTTAGTGTGTAAATGCTCAATGTATTCCTCTTTTTGCTTCATCCTGGGAAACTCTGACACCCTTACTACATTGTCACTTTTCTGATCTTTGAAGAACGAAGACTTATCTTTGTCCTAAACTTTTCATAAATCAACCTAACTGTGTCTAAAAGATTTAGACCCGACTATGTCGTTGTGTTTCTGGCAATTCTATTTCTCTTTTGCATTAATCGGACCTTTGGTTTACAGATGCATGATAAAATAATTGAAAAGTGATAGGAGCATATTTATGCGCCTTAGTTAGTTAGTTCTTATGCATTTATGTTGTGTTTTCTTAGTTAAGTTAGTCTTTTAAGCTATTTTCATGTGTTTTCAGGTTTTAGAGACAAAGTGAGCAAAATGATGCAATTTGGAGCATTTTGGAGCAAAATTGGGCTAGAATGAAGTTCATGCACATGAAGCACAAAGGATGGACGAATTTGAAGGATTGATGAAGCTAGGAATGTGTTTTGAAGTTGAAAAATTGAAGATACAAAGTTTCCTAGTTGAAGTAGGAAAGGGCTTAAGTGAAGGATTCCTAAATGAAGTAGGATTCTTAATCAATGTAGGAGTCCTAAATGAAGATGGATTCCTAGACGAATGAAGTTTCCTACTCAAGCAAGGTTTCCTATATGAAGAAGAAGAGTTAAAGCCAAAGAATCAGCTCAAGATAAGGATCTTATCCAAAACCTCATCCATAACCTTATCTTAGCTTATCTTATCCCAACAAACCTTATTCTATCCTATCTTATCCTAATCCTAAACTATCCACATCTCAGCCACTTAGGAGGGTTTCTAACTAGATTAGGATGCTTAAAATGGGATTTCTAGAAGACCTAATCTTATCCTACAAAAATGGCGCCTAGGAGCCTTTCTAGAAGCCTAAAAATCTGCCTTGTATTTCTTTCTAGAAACTATCCTTTTGCCGTGAGTTTTCACCCATTTCCTTTGGGATTTTGGTTTCTAGAAGCCTTATCCTTTCACACTCTTTGTGCCGCACACTATCTCCCATTCCTTTTGGGTTTTTGACTTGTTTTCCTTATATGATTGTATGTTATTATCCTATGCAGTTTAGGCCTTTAAAACCTTGTCCTTGGCTACCTAGGAGATGAGATTTTCAGCCTATAAATACAAGCCTATGCCGCACCCTTTCAGTCACCACCCTCTACCATATTTTCACTACATCATTCACCCAAAACCCCTCATTGTGCCGTGAGTTTGCAAGGAGAAGAAGGAAGGAATCTGGAGCCGTGCATGCCATTCAACGAGCTTGGATTGTTGGAGCGATTCTAGGTGTTTTCTATCTTTATGTCAATGTTTAAATTTATTTATCTTTGTTTATTTGCGAACATGAGGAACTAATTTCTTTATAGTTAGAGGGGAATTCAAAGCCATGATCATATGTTTTATATGACTTGATTACCTCCAGTTATGATTTCATGAATCGTGAATGTGGTTTACTTATCTATTTGATTGATAACATGTTTATGTATGTTAATTAAGGATGCATACTTAGTTCGCATGCATGAATTTGATGCTAGAGTATAAGGGAATTTCACCTAATCGTTATTAACTTATATTCATAAGTAGTAAAAGTCGCTAGTCACGATTGTGTTAAGTAAATCCTTGGCAAGAGTAACATGCGTATCCCATAGTTATGAATGCCTCGTCAATGCTTATGATTTCCATTGAACTTAATGATCTTTGATATGTGTCTCTATCATGCGTATTCCATAGTTAGGGTCCTTGATAAGAATAATTTGGTTGTAATGCGTATTCCATTCAATTCAATGAATCTAGGGAAATCTGAGAATTAATTGGTGCAATCTAGTTAATTTGGGGCATTGTCATTCATGGTTTGTTGAAAGAGTAACTGGAAATCGAGTCGTATGCATATGTTTCATGTGTGGAGAAGGAACCTTCTAACTAGCCTTTCACCATCTTAATCTACATCAAAATCGTTTTTGTCAAGTTTGTTTTCAAAGTTTTTGTTTTAAAAGTTAAATTCGTCCAAATCAACCCCCTTGCTTTTAAAATCTTTTTTTAGAGTCAAAACGTGTTTTTCTTTAAGTCTTTTGAGTCTTTGAAGTTCTATTTTCGTCCAAATCACTTGCTAGGTCTAGAATTGAGTCTTTTTTATTGTTTCTTGCTGTTTTTTTAGTGTTTTAAGTTAGTTTTGAGTCTATAGAGTCTAGTTTAGTGTTTTTGAGTCTTATTTGTGTTGATTAGCATCCCTAGTTAATCCCCGGTCTAGAACGATCCCTACTTGCATCATTACTACAATTGTCATCAATAGGGTTTAATTTGTGTGTCAACTTAATTTTCACATAAAAAAGCCACAGTTTTATCACATGGTTTTTTATCCTAGCCATAATAACACTAATGTGATTTATACCAAGAGACTAATGTGCTTTTTCATATGCTTTTTTGTCTCAAAATTTATAGAAATACAAAAATGATCATCACAAATTTCAAATCCTGCATTAACCGAAATTAAAACAATTATTCAAATTCCTAAAATTAAAACAGCATTTAGAAGCACTATAAACTCAAATTACAAAAAACATCAACAACATGGTGAGAATGAAGATTTATTTTATAGAAAATGAAAAATCTTTCTCAACCAATATGCTAAAAATGTTCACCACCAGTATATAATAAAAAACAAAAAATGCTAACTTCATCATCTCATAGCACCAACTTTAAACGTATCTCCTTCCGAAATTAAATTAAGAATTCACATGCCACTAATTAAGAAACTAATACTAATTGAAGTTGTATATTGTAAAATGCAACTGCTTTTAGAATTCCTAAGTGATATTAGTTAGCAAGAAACCCATACTAACTCAAGTTGTATAGTGTAATAACGCAACTACAAAAGACCAAGCTTCTGCTGCTAAAAGGCTTTTACAAAATCATAAAACTCTTAACAGTTTGAACCCTACCAGAAAGTTTATATGAGTTGAAGAACAGCTGTACTTAAGTGCAGCAAGATCATTACCTCTTACGGATTCTCCTCCGCGTCAGAACCACCTGCAGTCCAAATTAAGAAAGATTCAATGCCAGATCAAGAACAAATCAGTAATAATTTAAACTGAAATCCCTAATTATTGTTGTAGAGAGAATTCATATGAAGATTAACTACAATATTTAATTCGAATGGAATCCAAAAGCAGCATAAATATGAAGGGAAAAAAATTAGCAAAAGTCACATTTCAGCAGCAATTAATAGCAGAAAACAGAGTTTAGTGGCAGGGACCAAAACAATTTCAGTAAAAAAGACCAAAAACTGCAATGACTAACATATTTACATACATATGAAAATCTATTCACAACCACATTTACAATGACTAACATATTTACAATAACTTACATATATATAGGTGTCCAAGTGTCTATCGGTACTACTGTCTTTCAAATGGATCCTCAATTTCTGAAATCACAGAAAAGAACCACCCGAAAAAGTTATGAAAAAAAAGTTCAACTGTGCACAGGTACCAAAGAAAATGTTTTTCTTTCTTTCTAAGATTTATTGATTTATGCTCGAGAACATGTGAACAATCAGCAAGAGCCACAACAGATTTAGGCATCACCCAAACACTGAATCAGATAACACATCAATAGACAATCCAACATCTCATCACTTCCTTAATTAAAGGTGGAAAACATAGGGTACGAAAACATGATTTTCAATTAAAAAAATAAAGAACACGTTAAGGGCTTGAATTGCAGGTGCCCTCTCTCAGTTAGTAGTAAGTAATATAGTTATGCTGCTTATAGTTATACTAAAACAACCATCACCTAAAAGGCCACACCTTTATGCTTCATTCAAAATAGCCACCATAAAACAATTTGCAGTCCAAAAGGTCCAATAATTCAAAGCTCATAAAAAAACTGAAAGTAACTAATTAACCACTATCACCTAAAAGGCCACACCTTTATGCTTCATTCAAAATAGCTACCATAAACAATTTGCAGTCCAGAGCTCCAATAATTCAAAGCTCATAAAAAAACTAAAAGTAACTAATTAACCTTAAAATAAAGCAATTTGTTCCAGCAAAATAAAAAATGAGAACTCTGAGTAAATACAAATACCCCTAAAGATTCTAAAACAACAAAACCCTAGTTCTCAAATTACAGAACACTAAATTAGATACTAAGTTTTTACTTCTGTTATCATTCGGAATGCATGGTTAATTTATTTTTATTAATACTCTATTGTGAGTCTGAATGGTAGCTTATGATGAACTGGTAACTGATGCAAGGGATTAGGATGAGAGAGAACTTAGGTAATGGCTTGATATAATGACATTAAATTTTTAATTTTCTTTTAAAGAGTCAATAGTTTAGAGCTCCGCCTCTGCCTTTTAACAGTCGGTCGATTTGTAACTATATTGAATCGCATCATACCCTCATTTACTTTTTCAAGATGCTCAAAATGCTATGAATGACTTATCTGGTAAGGATGATGTTCTTCCTATTTAAACCTTGTTTTTCAACAACTTCTCAAGAACTAAATCATTACCAAGATTCAGTTTAATTAGTTTTCTCATCATATCCAAATTATATGCAGTTTATATAATAACACAATCATCTTCAAAGACCATTTCAAAACCAATATAACTTTAGTCCTAAAATCAAATTCACAAAACACTCACACAGACACAGACACCAACTAAATTGCAATTTCAAACAAAGGTAACTTTTGTTCTTCAAACCAAGAACCACATATGCATACCAAAATGATGACACTGCGATGGGAGTCCAAACTAAACAGCCAAAAAATAGCAAGAATAAGAGTAAGAATTCGAACAGAGTTCGTGTGTTTATATTGTATAAATGACTCTTAGCTTGTTTTGCTTCTTGCATGCTTATGGGATTCAGGAAAAATGTGTTATTTAGTTCCTCTCGTAGAACTAAAGAGGTGTTTTCTAGAGACCTAGAATATATGGAATCTCTACCCAGCAATAAAAACAGAGAACATCACATAGGCAACAGAAGTCGAACAGAAATCCCACATTTCACAACCAAATCATCACATCAGTTCGAAACATTAAACTATAAGAACTAAAAATAATAATAACAGTACCTTGAATTGAACCCTCAGGTCAGAATCTCCTACTTTGCAACTTGAAACAAACGAAAAAGAAATTAAAACCCACAAAACCCACAATCAGATAAAAAACAATTTTCCAGGAAAAACAAAACCAAGATTGGTATACAAAAAACCATCAAATCTATAACCTGGAAAAATAAATAAAAAAGCCACACAAAAAAACCCAAAAAAAAAAAAAAAGCAACCAACCTTAAAAGAAAGAACAAACAGACAGAAAGAGAGATGAATGTCCAAAATGATAGAAAACAAAACAAATAAGGGAAATTAATATCTCTGATGAATCCCCTAAAAACCTGACCTAACACACCAAAAAAAAACGAAAATAATCCACAACAAAAAGGCAAAAGCAGAAACGATGACAATCTAAGCTGACAGTAAAAAACAGGAACTTATCTTTGGAAATCCAGGCATGCAGCGGCAAATGCGGACGACCTGTATGGTTTTCTCTAACCATCCCCACTCTCCCACTTCTGAAAACCATCACCCATACCCCTCCCCCTCGCTCTTTTTCCATCGCCATCTATCTCGATCTCTCTCTCTCTCTCTCTCTCTCTCTCTCTCTCTCTCTCTCTCTCTCTCTCAAAGCCTCCATCCCCCCGAAACCCTCATTGAAGGACAACAAATGAAAACCTACACGGCAACCCCCGAATTCGCTCAAAACCGAGAGGACAAAATTGCCCTTCCAACCCAATCCAAATCTGATGGGTTTTGTAAATAAGGTGAAATCAAAGGGTAATCCGTCCTAAACCTTGTGGACAAAATTACCCTTCTAAGTTCTAATAAATACCCTTCAAACCCAGCCCAAATCTCATGGTTTTATTGTAAATGAGATGAAATCAAGGGGCAAACAATTGACTGTAGCTAAGCTACAATCAATTCACTCCTCAATTTTAGAATAGATAATAAGACAGGGGGAATCAAGCTGAGATTTTCTTTTGGTTTTTTGATGTGTAGTATACCTGTATCCACTTTCATTTCTTCCTTTGTTTAGAGATTTTGTAATAGTGCAAAAAGAGTATTACTCATTATTCATTGTTGAAAAAAGTAATTTTACGTCATTTCTCATAGGTCTCACACCCTCATATATCAGTAGTTTGGGCATTAGATAAAAAAAAAAAGAAAGAAAAAAAAAATAGAGCTTTTGCTTGGCACTCAGGTTTGTCCCAAAATTAGGTTTTTTTTTTTTTTTTGTTCTAATTTGTGTCCTAAATTCATGTTGTGTTTATCCGTTTTTTAGTTGTTGATACAGGACTTGAAAGAAATTGTGAAAAACTGCATTAAGGTACTCCCCCAACGAAGCCGTCAATCACCTGTTCACCCAAGGTCTCCCCCTATTTCTCTTTCTCCTCACTTTTTCTCTAAGATCTTTATCCTCCTTTTCAAATTTATTTGCCTGCTTTTTTAATTTGAACTTTTTGTTGTGGTCTATTTTATCTGACAGAGGGACTAGGGCCGGTGGCAGAGAGAGAGAGGAGAGAGATGTGTGTTTGTAGAATTGTAGGGGAATGTGTGTGTTGTTATCCCTCCTACATTGTGCCTTTATTTATAGTAGTAAAGGGAGAGAAGATATTCCTTCTTCTCCAAGTAATACAAGTTGTAATAGGAAAGGATAACTAGAATCAAATCTTATCTAGGATTTTACACAATCATACTTAAACTAGGAATGTTTACAACACTCCCCCTTGAGTGTGTAAATACTCAAGGTAGATTCAGCATCATGCAGAAGTTGAGGAAGTCGACTCGTTGGGACTGATTCCAAGGAACAACGCTTATTCTCAATAAGGTAGGAACTTGCATAAGTAGTAAGTCTCACTAAAAAACCCTAAGGCTATGGCAAAAACCCAAGTAGGGACAAAATCCATAGTCTAAGGAAAAAATGCGTGAGAAATGCAAAGTCAAAAGAAACGTCTACAGGACGTCATCAGGGATATGACCAGCCCAAGGTGGGTGCCTCGTTAAAACCTAGTTAGGTAGCAAAAACCCAGTGGGAAAAATGCTCCTAATCGTAGGGAAAAAGAGTACATTAAGATCAAGCAAGTATCTAGAAGATACTTCCCCTGAGTTTGACATAATTCCAAAGAGAAATAGCAAAGTTACAACTCAGAAAGTTTACGCATACCAATTCCATGAACAAGCTTCTGAAACGTCGCCTTCGGTAGTGATTTGGTGAAGAGGTCGGCCAGATTGTCTTGTGATCAGATTTGCGTGACTTCAATCTTCTGATGCTCTTGTTGTTGATGTGTAAAGAAGAACTTCGGTGCAATATGTTTGGTGTTGTCTCCTTTGATGTAACCCTTCTTGAGCTGTTCGATGCAAGCTGCGTTGTCTTCAAAAATCGTCGTCGGGGCATTAACGGCGGGATGAAGATCACAGAAGCTTCGAATATGGCCCACTACTGCTCTCAACCAAAAGCATTCCCGAGTTGCTTCATGTAAGGCGAGAATTTCAGCATGGTTAGACGAAGTGGCAACTAAGGTCTGTTTAGTTGACCTCCAAGATATTGCGGTGCCTCCAACGGTAAAGACATAACCCGTTTGAGAACGCGCCTTGTGCGGATCAGATAAGTATCCAGCGTCGGCATAACCAACAAGGCGAGAATCAACCCGATGAGCATAGGGTGCGGCATCACTCGAGGATTCGTAGGGATAGAATAAGCCCAAATCCGTAGTACCCTTAAGGTAACGGAAGATGTCTTTCACGCCAGTCCAATGTCTGCGTGTTGGTGCATTGCTGTATCTTGCCAAAAGATTAACAGCGAAGGAGATGTCGGGTCTAGTGCATTGAGCTAAGTACAATAAAGCGCCTATCACACTTAGATAAGGAACTTCAGGCTCCAAAATCTCTTCATCATCCTCCTTCGGACGGAAGGGATCTCGCTTTGCATCTAGCGTACGAACGACCATAGGAGTACTCGAAGGCTTCGCTTTATCCTCATTAAAACGGCGCAACACCTTCTGGGTGTAGTTCGATTGATGTACTAGGATTCCATCCGAACAATGCTCTATCTCGAGACCGAGATAGTATCGAGTCTTACCTAGATCTTTCATCTCAAATTCCGACTTCAGGTGCGAAGCAGTTCTCGCGAGCTCTTCAGGAGTTCCGATGAGATTCATGTCATCGACATATACTGCAACAATCGCAAATCCGGAATGTGACTTCTTAATGAACACACACAAGGGCATAGTTCGTTATTCACATATCCCTGACTAGTCAAATACTCACTTAAACGGTTATACCACATTCTTCCGGATTGTTTCAAACCGTATAGTGAACGCCTCAGCCGAATTGAGAGCGTGTTCCGGGGTTTGGAAATATTTGAACCAGTCAATGTAAGTCCTTTGGGAACTTTCATATAAATTTCCGTATCAAGATCCCCATAGAGATACGCGGTTACTACGTCCATCAGCTGCATATCCAGTTTTTCGGAAACTACCAAACTGATAAGGTATCGAAAAGTAATCACATCCATAACGGGTGAGTAAGTTTCGTCATAGTCAATCCCGGGGCGTTGTGAGAAACCTTGTGCTACAAGACGAGCTTTGTAACGCACAATTTCGTTCTTCTCATTACGCTTCCGAACGAAAACCCATTTGTAGCCAACGGGCTTCACATGTGGAGGAGAGTAGGAACTACAGGTCCAAAACACCTTACGTTTCGCAAGTGAATCAAGTTCAACTTGGATTGCTTGTTTCCAGTTTGACCAATCAGCTCTACGTCGACATTCATCAACGGAACGCGGTTCAATGTCATCGCTCAACATGATCTCAGTAGCTACTGCAAATGCTAATGCATCGTCGACAATCATCTCATTTCTACGCCACACATCATCTAAGCTAGCATAATAGACCGAAATCTCACGATTCTCGGGAGGATGATTCGTCTCTTCAAGGACGCTTCCATAATCTAGAATTTCCTCATGAGTTGGGTAAAATGAGTAAGCAATAGTCGGATTCACGGTAGGCTCTTCAGGACCTTGTGCCGTGGTTTTCCTCTTCCGGGGGTGTGAATCCTTTGAACCAAGGGGTCTGCCACGCTTTTGTGTAGGGGCAGATGATTGGCTAGCCGCTAATGTACGTGGATCACCAGAATTGGCGTCCCGGGCTTCCAGGAGGGTAGTCCGTCGTACATTTGGTACATCCATCTTTGCAGGCGTATTCGCAGCTGGAATATGTGATCTTGTCACGCGCGCTAGATCGGTGAAAGCATCTGGCATGCTCTGAGCTATGCTCTGGAGATCTAATATGCGCTGCACTTCAGCTTCAGACTGAGCGGTGCGGGGGATCTAAATGAGACAAAGTGGGAGTCGTCCACGATAATTCGCGTTGTTCATTAGGAACGTTGACGTTCTTATCTCCCCCTAACGATGGGAAGACTGTCTCATAGAAGTGACAATTCGCGAAACGAGCGGTAAACAGATCGCCTGTCAAAGGTTCTAAGTAACGAATAATTGAAGGAGAATCATATCCGACATAGATTCCCATCCTTCGCTGAGGCCCCATTTTTGTACGTAAGGGCGGCGAGATCGGCACATAGACCGCACAACCAAAAACGCGCAGATGCGATATGTCGGGTTCGCATCCGGTGACCAACTGAAGGGCACTAAATGGTTGTGTCGCAACAGGCCTCAGGCGGACCAACTTTGTTGCGTGCAATATTGCATGGCCCCAAGCAGCGATCGGGAGCTTGGTACGTATGACCAACGATCGAGCAATCATTTGTAAACGCTTAATGAAAGCCTCTGCCAGGCCGTTCTGGGTGTGAACATGGGGTACAGGATGTTCAAACTTCAACCCCAACCGACATGCAATAGTCATCAAAAGTTTTAGATGTGAATTCTCCAGCATTATCCAATCGAATAGATTTGATCGGATAATCAGGGTGGTGAGCCCTGAGCTTGATAACCTGAGCCAACAGTTTGGAGAATACAGCGTTCCTTGTGGACAACAAGCACACGTGTGACCAACGTGTAGAAGCGTCAACCAAAACCATAAAATATCTAAATGGTCCGCAGGGAGGTTGAATCGGTCCACAAATGTCCCCCTGAATCCGTTGTAGAAAAAATGGGAGGATTCGAACGAATCTTGTCATAAGAAGGCTTAGTAATAAGCTTTCCCATAGAACATGTTTGACATGCAATTTCATGGATCGAACCTAAGCTTCGGGTTAGTGGATGCCCGTGTGAAGTTTTGAGGATACGGCGCATCGCTATTCGTCCAGGATGTCCCAAACGATCATGCCAAAGTGTAATTTCGTGCGCGGTCCCTGTGGTAGGGCCGGCCACATAGTGGCATTCTATGGGGCGTATGGTCGTAGTATACAGACCACTCGGGTTACGCTCCATCTTCTCTAGAATACGCTTCTGGCCATATTCGTAGGAAGTTACGCACAGAAATTCAACTCCGTTTTCTACGTGGGTTTCAGCGTGGTAATTGTTATCTCTAATGTCCTTGAAACTTAGTAACGTTCTTCCGGAACGTGGAGAAATAGAGTGCCTCAGCAATGGTCAAGATTGTACCATTGGACAACATTATACGTGCCTTACCGTATCCTTCGATCAGGTTGGATGGGCCTGAGAGGGTTGTCAGAGGTGCATTCTTAGGTACGAAGTTAGTGAAATAGATGCGTTCACGCAAAACAGTATGCGTGGTTGCACTATCTGCCAGACAACTAACTTTCCCACTAGTCATACCTAGAATGAAAAATTAATTTGAATTGGTCACATGCATAAAAGTTTATAAAAACAAGTATCAATTCAAAATAATTTCATTTATTCAAGGAAAAAAACTTAATATCCAAAATAAATCGCCAACTAATAATCCAAAACATAAAGGAAAATTGTTCAAAATCAACCAAAAAAACAAGGTGGGGTTCGGCCACTAGGTGGAATTCGGCCCCAATTGTCTTATTTTAACTGAAAAATAAGTTTATGTCTAAGATTCTAATCTTCCATAGGAGTGGTATCCTCCTGAAAATCAGAAACCTCCATCTTTGTAGTCTCTGGTTCGTCCACTTGCAGGAAGTTTGATTCAAACTTCGTACGACGAGAATGATATGCATCCACAACCTTCTTGGGAGCACGGCAAATACGGGACAAT